GCATATAAATAACAGCGAATATTTTTTTGTTGATATGAAAAATCGGGTATATTTAGAAATATAGTGGGTATATGATGTATATTACGATGTTATGATGAACTATATGACTTTCTCCACTGACGTTCTGAGTTGTTCAAAGCGTTTCTGATGATTGTTAGAAGGCAGTTGTCTGACTCTGAGATGCGAGCAGGATCATGGTTTGTGTATTGGGACATTAGCAACACATTATTAGCTGTTTGATACCATAGTCAAGCAATAGGTTAATCATATTAATTACCATTATGTGTCCGAAGTTGTAAAGAGCGATACCATTGTGCAGCGTTTACCTCAGTAAGTCGACCGAGTGAATCTGTGAGCTGCTGTGAGTGAGTGGAGGCGGGGCTAATTAGCATATTCATAAATCCGCGTATACTATATGAAGCAAGGGTTACATTCAAGCTATTTTAAGGCATGAAGAATTATTTTTCAAAGGAATTTTTTTTTTAAATGTGTAATTTTGGTGATCTTATTTGAGTTTTAAGGGATAAAATTACTGACTACAGGGGGACTTTAATAAACCTAATCTGCATGTGGATTCGCCTCATCCCACTTTCGTTCAACCCAGCATTACAATTTACTTAGTTTTATTTACATTTTTACACTATTTTTGTCTAAACTTTCCATAGACCCAGCCCTCCCCTTCGTACAGCTATTCTACAATGTTTCTATCTTTATTTATCATGGAGGCTCTCAAATGTTTCCACCCATTTGTTACTGCTCCTATAGAACGTTTTCTCCTGTATTTGTTACAATCGTTCAAATATTTTTCTGCCTGTATTTGTTACAGCTGTTTCCGACTGTGTTTATCATGGTTGTTCTCAGATGGTATCTGCCTGTTTTTGTTGGAATGCTTCTGCCAATATTTTTTTACTTCCATTCTAGAATATCTCCATCTGTATTTTTTTGTTATTTATTGGAGAAATATATAGAGTACAGATGAACTCAACAGAAATCGAATCCAAAGATCCTCTGTATTTTCCTTGTGCAAACAAAAAACTAACAAAGGTTATAATTCCTTCTGCAGTTATTAACTATATATGCATATTTATACCTACATATGTACACATGCATATACAAATAACCGTGTTTAAACAAGTTGTTGTGTGCACATCCCACCTTCTGGCAGGTGCAGGACAAAAAGGACTACTGAATTGAAAAGATTATAATGTCCACAACACTGCTACTTACTCCCATATTTTAATAAAAAAGGCAACGTTTCGACCCTACTGGGTCTTCTTCAGGCAATTGGCAAAACACATTTGATACAGAGTTATATAGGCCTTACAATCTGACCCACCCCGTGATTTCAATTAGCTTGATTGGGTCTAAACAAGCCTAATAACCTCACTCATTAATTAATGAAGAGAACACTTGCATGGAAAAAACAATCAACATACACAAGAATCAATTCCATATGCACATAACTTCCTAAAATGTAGTCAGAAACGGGAGCGCTACGGACCAGAATCAGTGAGCACAGAAGTACCATCAGAAAAGAAGATGAACGTAGTCCTGTCGCCGCTCATTTTAAATCAGCTGGCCACAATGTCAGCGCCCTTAGATACATCGGGGTGGAGCGGGTCAATAAACCGTTTAGAGGAGGAGATCATGGTAAAAGGCTTCTCCAACGGGAAACTTTTTGGATTTACTACTTGAACACAATGTCTCCTTATGGTCTTAATGAAGATTTTGACATAAAGCCATTCTTATAATGAATGGCTTTGTGTCATGTATATGTCATAATATAATGTGTATTTATGTAGCCTATGTATTTGGTTGTGGATTTATATATATATGACATGTATATGTGAGTATGCACTGTTTCTTGGTAGTTAATTGCATGTTTCTGACTACATTTTAGGAAGTTATGTGCATATGGAATTGATTCTTGTGTATGTTGATTGTTTTTTCCATGCAAGTGTTCTCTTAATTAATTAATGAGTGAGGTTATTAGGCTTGTTTAGACCCAATCAAGCTAATTGAAATCACGGGGTGGGTCAGATTGTAAGCCCTATATAACTCTGTATCAAATGTGTTTTGCCAATTGCCTGAAGAAGACCCAGTAGGGTCGAAACGTTGCCTTTTTTATTAAAATATGGGAGTAAGTAGCAGTGTTGTGGACATTATAATCTTTTCTATACAAATAAACGTAACATTCCTATACATGCACATGCCACCTAAGTATATTGTACATGCAAACATATGCCCATCTTACAACATACAGAAAACTCCTAAAACAAAAAACAAAAACAGTTTCCTTTCTTTGTCTGTAACTTACATTTCCAAATCTTTTAGACTGCAGCTAATGCTGGAGCTGTCGAGTGTTTGCCACCAGCGAACCCCAAATCTTGGCTCCAGGCCGTCAGGAGGTTTGAAGAGGTGAAAGCACTCTGCATGGAAATGGATGTCATGATCAGCACAGTGTGATGGAATATGAAAATGTATTTTGTGAATGTATTGGATTCAGTAGAGCACCTTGGGGGATGCCCCAGTCCCAGATGAACGGGAAAAAGAAACAGCCGTCAATTGAAAAGATAAAAAAGCAATCTTGTGCACCTGTAACCTTTAAGAGATATTTCTCTCTCTCTCTCTGAGATGCTTTCAGCAATCACTTGTATGGCATGGAACCAATATATATGAGGATATGTGTGAATCTGTGAAGGTGAATCACGTTTCTGAATCACAAGCTGAGTCAAGCAGATTCAGAACAGAGTTTGTGTACATCTCACTGCCAAAGCTTTTACAAGCATCTGGCAGCTGCGTAGGATAAAGAAATTAAAGATATGTTTAATTACGGTACGCTAACATATTCTATTCTCTCATGTCACTGATGAGTATTTCTTGAGATCAGGAGGAAAAAGGGATGAATATTTAAGCAACCAAAGGCAAAGAAGATGGGCTTCATTTATGAGCACAACATTTGTTTCTGTGTAAATTGTTCTTAAATTATTCTTATGTGATTTTTTTTAAAAGACTGGTTGGTTCTGGAAAAATCTCATTGACTCACCACATCATGTCGTCACAAACTCGTATGCTGTCATTTTTCTGTGGAAAAGAAAAGAGAATTTGTAAAGAATCATTTGACAGTTCATAGTGACCAGAGCTGTCAAGCTCCAAAAGGGACAAAAAAACCATTAAAGTTTCATAAAAGTGGTTCATACAATCTGTGTTCTATTATACAAGTCATACGAAAGCTTTTTGAAGCTGGTTTTCACAGAAAATCTTCCCTTCTATGGAAACTCTGAAATCTCATTTACATTTGCATCTCTTTTGACATCTCAAAATGTTTAACATCATTGAAAGACACGAGGGTGAATATTAAATAATGACAGAATTCTCATTTCAGGATGAACTGTTCCTTTAACCCTCTGGTACAGGCCACATGTCGGTCAAAAATGACAGAATTTTTTTTTTTTTTTTTTTTCAATGAAATTATATTTTAGTTTGATCATTTTTTTTATTTAATATTTTGTATTTTAAGGGGATTTTATGGTACTGCATAATATTTACACTGTATTTATAATCCATTTATTCACTTTTTGAACATAGACCTGAAAATGAAATTTCCAACTTTAACTGTTGTAGATCTCGAATGCTTTAGAGCACAGACTTAAAGGATTAGTTCACTTTTAAAAAAACTTTTGCTGATAATTTACTCACCCCCATGTCATCCAAGATGTCCATGTCTTTCTTTCTTCAGTCGAAAAGAAATTACGGTTTTTGATGAAAACATTCCAGGATTTTTCTCCATATAATGCACTTTGCTGGGCACCAAACGGTCCAAGGTCCAAAAGACAGTTTCAGTGCAAACTGCAAACTGTTCAAAGGGCTTTAAACGATTCCAGACGATGAATAATGGTCTTATCAAGCGAAACGATCGCTCATTTAAAAAATAAATAACAAAGTTTTAGTTTTATAAGCTCACATGCTCGCGTCGCTCTGTTCTGTGTAACTCTCCTGTTCGAACTCGTTCATCAAAATGAACGAATCTTTTTCCGAGTCAATTCGTTCATTTCAGTCGTTAAATGAATCAAATGACTCGTAAAAAGATTTGTTCATTTTGATGAACGAGTTCGAACAGGAGAGTCACACAGAACAGAGCAAGGCGAGCATTTGAGCTTATAAAACTTAAACTTTGTTATTTATTTTTTAAATGAGCGATCGTTTCGCTTGATAAGACCCTTATTCATCGTCTGGAATCGTTTAAAGCCATTTGAACAGTTTGCAGTTTGCACTGAAACTGTCTTTTGGACCGTGGACCGTTTGGTACCCAGTAAAGTGCATTATATGGAGAAAAATCCTGGAATGTTTTCATCAAAAACCTTAATTTCTTTTCGACTGAAGAAAGAAAGACATGGACATCTTGGATGACATGGGGGTGAGTAAATTATCAGCAAAAGTTTTTTTAAAAGTGAACTAATCCTTTAAGTTTGATCTCTTTATAAAGACAACACTTGGCAAATTATTGCTGAAGTGAAAAACGTTTTTAAAAAGTGATAGAATTTTACATTTATTGTTATGAAAAATTCACAAAAATACTATTTTCAATTTTTATACGAAATATATATTTTCAAAAACAAGTTTTACTCTTAAACTGCAAGAAAGTCAAAGCCATAAATCTAAACAAGTTTGATATCTCAAAAAATGAGCTTTCAGTAAGATTTTGTTTGGGTGCAGTACCAAACGCTTCCACCAGATGAAATTCACCTCTCATTCCTTTCCAATGTGCTCATTTTTGACATGAACAATACAAGTGTGACTATTTTTTTCAGGACTATTTCAGGACCACTTTATGAATCAAATCCATTCTTTTTTTGTGTGTTCACATACCAAGTGCCAAAACCTTTACCAAGTTACCATTACGATTAAGTAAAAAATGTAATTTAAAAAAAACAAAACAATATTTTTGGTCAAAAACGACAGAAGAACCCCAGAGGATTGTGATGTATCTGAGACTCAACAGATGTAGGCTATTTAGGACATCCGGTAATACTCTCGAAGATAATAACCTTTCACAGCACACCACACGAGACATACCCTTATCAAGACCTTCCGTTTACAGCCGACTGAATGCGATTTTAATCTGTCTCTCACCAGGTCAGGACTCAGAGGGTTTAACTTATTAAACCAAACAACCTACAATCAGAGAAGCATCATTGTACATTCTGTTTGAATGTGAGCCAAGCAGAAGCAATCTGTGCCTCACAACTGCATTAAACAAACCAATCTGCTATTGTACAGGCCACAATTTGAAACATAATCCAAGGCTATCCTTAAAGACCAAAGGGGAAAGTTGACATATTTTGTTGGGGTAAAATATGATAATAGCCTTTAAAATTAACTATATTAATTTTAAGATCAAGGTAAATTGTACTTAATTTGTCTTTCGGGAAACATGTAAGTATCTTCTGTTGCTTCCGAAGGGCAGTACTAAATTACATGTTTTATATATTTAAACAAAATAAGAAAAATCTTCATCCTGGTCGAAAGTTTTCACCCCCCGGCTCTTAATGCATTGTGTTTCCTTCTGGAGCATCAGTGAATATTTGAACCTTTTTTAATAGTTGTGTGAGTCCCTAAATTGGCCTCATTGTGAAAAGATGGATCTCAAAATCATACAGTCACTGCTGGAAAGGGTTCAAACATGCAAAAGATGCTGGAAAACTGAAGATTTTGCGGGACCTGGAGGATTTTTCTGAAGATCATTGGTCAGTTTAACTTCTCAGGACTCAGACAACAAACATGGGACTCAAGAACAACCATCACAAAACAAAAAAAACATTCGTGGATCATCCAGGTAAGGACCCAGTATGAAGATTCAAGTGTATGTAAAATTTTGTACGGGGTCATTTTTATAAATTCAGCTATTTTTTTGTCTTGTGGACTATTATGTAAACATCTTCTATGTGAAATATCTTATTCAGGACAGTACTAAATAAAAAAAACATGCATTTTGTATGATCCCTCTTATTTTGTTAAAATTATTCACAGATTCTGCCAGGGGTGTGTAAACGTTTGAGCAGCACTGTATGATCTGTTTTCTCTGGACATGAAAGACTGTCAATTTGTATAGCAGATATACATATTTGTTATTTATTTTGTTTGGACAGACACAAAACGCTAAAAACTCTTTATATTTACTATCGAACATGTTTTATCATTTACTACTGAACAGGTTTTTATCTCATATCCATTTTTTCGTTATAATTTACCTTTTTGCAATCCAATATCGTACTATTTTTGTACTTTTAATTACTTTATTTCTTTATATGTACATACATATCCTGGCTTATATATAAGGCATGAAATGTAGAATGAACTGTACTGTGTTGAGTTGAAATCCAACAGTGATTTGCTGCCATGTTTCACACTTTCTTCCCACCTTCATGACTTGCTATTTGTCACACGTTAGATGTTAATGTATAACACATGCCACATAGTCTCATCACTATATCTCTCACTCGCACACCATCCATATAAAGGTGCTGCTATCCTTACCTTCATTACAGCTGCACCCAGCCCGGGTCCTCATCACGCTGAGATGTATAATTAACACACAGATCAGCGAGGAGACAGGCAGAGGCCGCCGGAGCCGCAGTCACTAATGATTCCAGAGAGGCTTTCTTTCACTAGACAAAAAGAACAGTGGACAACGTTTAGATAATTGAGAGCTACGGTATATTAACACACACTCTTACAAGCAAAGATTAAAGCAGTTACCTCAAAATTAAAATTCATCCTTATGATGTTCCATACCCATATGACCTTTTCAGTTTTTTTCTGTGGGACACAAAAGGAGATGTTAGGAAAAATGTTTACTCTGCTTTTCGACGTGACAAAATGATATTCTTCTTATTTAAATGGATGCAAAAGTGATAATATATATATTATACATATATATATATATATATTATTAATTTATTTATTATATGGTGCTTTATCGTAGCTCTGCTTTTCGACGTGACAAAATTATATTCTTCTTATTTAAATGGATGCAAAAGTGATAATATATATATATATACATATATATATATTATTAATTTATTTATTATATGGTGCTTTATCGTAGCTCTGCTTTTCAACGTGACAAAATTATATTCTTCTTATTTAAATGGATGCAAAAGTGATAATATACACTCACCGGCCACTTTATTAGGTACACCTGTCCAACTGCTCGTTAACACTTAATTTCTAAGCAGCCAATCACATGGTGGCAACTCAGTGCATTTAGGCATGTAGACATGGTCAAGACAATCTCCTGCAGTTCAAACCGAGCATCAGTATGGGGAAGAAAGTTGATTTGAGTGACTTTGAACGTGGCATGATTGTTGGTGCCAGAAGGGCTGGTCTGAGTATTTCAGAAACTGCTAATCTACTGGGATTTTCACGCACAACCATCTCTAGGGTTTACAGAGAATGGTCCGAAAAAGAAAAAACATCCAGTGAGCGGCAGTTCTGTGGGCGGAAATGCCTTGTTGATGCCAGAGGTCAGAGGAGAATGGCCAGACTGGTTCGAGCTGATAGAAGGGCAACAGTGACTGAAATAACCACTCGTTACAACCGAGGTATGAAGCAAAGCATTTGTGAAGCCACAACACGCACAACCTTGAGGCGGATGGGCTACAACAGCAGAAGACTCCACCGGGTACCACTCATCTCCACTACAAATAGGAAAAAGAGGCTACAATTTGCAAGAGCTCACCAAAATTGAACAGTTGAAGACTGGAAAAATGTTGCCTGGTCTGATGAGTCTCGATTTCTGTTGAGACATTCAGATGTTAGAGTCAGAATTTGGCGTAAACAGAATGAGAACATGGAACCATCATGCCTTGTTACCACTGTGCAGGCTGGTGGTGGTGGTGTAATGGTGTGGGGGATGTTTTCCTGGCACACTTTAGGCCCCTTAGTGCCAATTGGGCATCGTTTAAATGCCACGGCCTACCTGAGCATTGTTTCTGACCATGTCCATCCCTTTATGGCCACCATGTACCCATCCTCTGATGGCTACTTCCACCATGTCACAAAGCTCTAATCATTTTTTAAAATTGGTTTCTTGAACATGACAATGAGTTCACTGTACTAAAATGGCCTCCACAGTCACCAGATCTCAACCCAATAGAGCATCTTTGGGATGTGGTGGAACGGGAGATTCGCATCATGGATGTGCAGCCGACAAATCTGCGGCAACTGTGTGATGCCATCATGTCAATATGGACCAAACTCCCTGAGGAATGCTTCCAGCACCTTGTTGAATCTATGCCACGAAGAATTGAGGCAGTTCTGAAGGCAAAAGGGGGTCCAACCCGTTACTAGCATGGGGTACCTAATAAAGTGGCCGGTGAGTGTATATATATATATATACATATATATATATTATTAATTTATTTATTATATGGTGCTTTTTCGTAGCTCTGCTTTTCGACATGACAAACTTATTCTGACATTATATTCTTACTTAAATGGATGCAAGTGATAAATAATATACAAAAATATATACATATATAGTATTATTTTATAATTTATTTATTGTATGGTGCTTTTTTGTAGCTTGACAGTTGTTACTATATGCTTTGTATGGAAAAACAGAAACTTTGAGCAACTTTCATTTCTGGCTGAAATAACACTTTAATGAGCCACTTATTTTGTATTGCCTGTTTGTTTGTCACCACCGAACAGCAAATTACAGCATATCTGTGATCATTATAGCCAGATTAATGGCCGTTTGAGCGGGTCCAGTGTTCGTAATCAGGGGCAAACACTAGAGGCCGATGATGAATTATTAATACCTCCATGCTGAGATGGCATCGTTTGTGTGTGTGAGAAAAAGTGGGTTTTTATCTCCGATTCTGTTCTAACATGACTCCTGTATGAAATCGGTTAAGCCGTCCATTTCCTCCTGCAGATTTGCTCATAATCGTTTTCGCCAGGCCTCGTCCAGCCTCTTTGAAATACCTTTAATCAGCCGTGAGTTAAATTGTGAGAAAATACTCACTCGTTCCCCCATCAGACCCGTATCAAAGGCATCCTATGACATCTCCCACCCTAAGAGAAAAACATGTTGAAACGAAACTATTAGTGAGAAATATTTCAGGAAAGCATATCACAAAGATCAAAGAGGCGACTGCGAGAGAGAGAAAAAACACTTATGCAGCAAAATACAAGATCTTCTAAGCTCTGGGAACGTGAAGTTCACACACTTTGTGCTCTACACTGACATTCCCTGTTTGAAGAGGATTAATGGTTAATTGAAGGATCAAACTTGTGCCTGCAGTTTCTACAAAAGTTCCTTATGATTAAAAGTATAATCGATAGAACGATAGAAAAGTATAGAATTAGATGAGATTATAATAAAGTTATAAATATGGATATTTTTCTTACAAAAACGCATGGCTTCACCTCAGAAGGCCTTTATTAACCCCCTATGGATTACTTTTATGATGGATGGATGCACTTTTTAGGGCTTCAAAATATCCAGCCCCATTCACTCCCATTATAAGCTTGGAAAAGCCAGGATATTTTTTTAATACAACTTTAGTCACATACACCTAAGATTGCTTCAAGGTGAGTAAATTATGGGATAATTTTCATTTTGGGGTGAAACATAACTTTAAAACATAACTGACTATGACTATGATACCAAGATGGACATTTTGACCTAATTTTGAGAAAGATGAAAGATGTCTGCTTTGCGCACAAAAAACTTTCCATACAGTGCAATTAACAAATTGAGTTCCCTTTCGTGTCTTATATGAGCTTAAATATTTAAATTGGCAAGGCTTTTGTTTGTTCGCGTTCAAGTTCTCACAATTTTGCATGGTGAGAATTCATAAAAATGCAACTGTTTCATATAACTTTACTCACCATCTGGGGCCTCATTTATAAACGTTGCGTACGCACAAAAGAAGGCGTACGCCGCTCTCTACGCAATAATTGGTATTTATAAAAAGCAAACTTGACGGTAAAATGTGCGGTCCTTCACGCAAGCTCTGACCCAGGCGTACGCACTAAAACGGGTGAAATGAGAAATGGCGACACCGTCGGCAGAGGGAAGAAACACGTGAAAGTGTGTGAAACTGTAGACCGTTGTGTAATGGCAATACTGCCTCTCATAAATAACACGAAGACTTCACAAAGCAAGTCTTACAATTAACAGCCTACACGAACACCCGTTTGATCGATCTGCAACAGAAATGCAAATTAACACATATTTGCAAAAAGAAAAGTGAAATATGTTCTGCAATAATATTGGCATGTTATACAATTCATCTTCATAAATAAGATGGTAAACAGAACGAAATAATGTACAAAACTGATATTCTCGCCAATGTGTCCGTCAGGCGGAGCAGATATAGGCTAGATGCAATTAGATAGATAGATAATTAGGGAGATAGATAGATAGATAGATAGATAGATAGATAGATAGATAGATAGATAGATAGACAGACAGATAGATAGATAGATAGATAGATAGATAGATAGATAGATAGATAGATAGATAGATAGATAGATAGATAGATAGATAGATAGATAGATAGATAGATAGATAGATAGATGTATTATTTGTCCACTGGGGAAAGTTGTTTTCATAGTAAAAATGTCTTTATCAGCTACGGAATCATGGTATTCATGCATATGCCTTTAGTTTGTTTTATTTTTGATAAAATAACGTATGACGTATGTCTCAATCACTCAGGAAGCAAGAAATTACATTTGCGCTGAACTATTTCCCATTTCCAAGTAGATTATAACCGACATCTGTAGCTTGTCATTTCTTTTTTATCTCGGCCACAGTCCGAGGTTGTGAGGCTACAGCACTACGGCGTCTGCAACCTTTTGCCACTCAAGTGCCTTTTTGGCATTAGTAATGCCCACACTGTGCCCTCCAAACAACATTTTTCTCCTCTTTTCCACCTCGCCAACGATAACTTCTACTTCACATTGAGTGAAGTTATGTTTTTTTTTTATTTCCTCTCTATGTTTGCCATGATTTCGCAATCGATGAATATTAACTTATGGGCGTTTCACGGACTATTTATGGGCAACTATGGGCGTGACATGAAGCCGCAAAAGCTGCGCTACATTTAGAATTGATTGTGATTTATTAAGGGAAAAATGCGTAGGATGTGCGTGCGCACGGTTTTATAAATCCGAATATTTCTGTGCGTACGCACGTCCTATGTTTCATCCGTACGCCACTTCTGACGCAAATCCTACGCAAAGTTTTATAAATGAGGCCCCTGATCACCATGCAACACCGATTTTTACTCGCATATGGTCCTGGGCCTACATTGACTACTAAATATCGGCTTTAAAGTGCAACATGTTACAAGTAGGCTATTCCTGCTTCACAAGATGATAAAAGCCTTGTTTACATGATTTATTTTCAATGTCTTGCTGGTAGGCTATGTAAGTTAGAGAGCGGGAAGCCATAAAAGATTTTCTGTGTTGATAATAAAGTGCCTCTCAAATTCATTTCATAAAGGTAACCCCTGACAGAATTTTTGTCAGTCTTTATTAAAGGAATTTTGTTGGTAATTTTTTGGCGCTCAATTTGTTGAGATTCAGAGTCTGTGTGACTTGTTGTGTCCCTCAAAAATGGTAAAGTTTGAGTTCACGGTGGCTCCTTAAAAAAAACACAAACATTGTTAACGATATACAGGTAATATATGTTACTTATGATGTGTAAATCTACAATAAACTGATAAATATTGACAGTAACTTACCTATGTTTTATCGATGTCCCGTCCTAACGGAAAGCGCTCGAGCACGCGCGTGTTGCTATGGTTACCACCTCATTATAGGCGAACACCTGTAGACTTTTTTTTAAACTATTTTTTAACATTCATTGTATAATATGTATATTTACATTGTGTGTGTGTTATGAATGAATACTTTTTTTTCCCCAACGAACCCAAAACCCACCCTGCCAGCAAACACTCAATAAGATTTTTTATTGATCATACGGTGTTATTGCAATTTGCAACCATGGTTTAATTATAAGTCATACGTCGAGCAATAGCTGTTTATATCCAAAAATCCAGTCAAAGTTTATTCATGACATGTCCAGAGAAATAAAACTCAATTAAACATGATCAGCTGCTTTGATCTTTAATTCACAGGAGGGGAAATAGCGCCACCTGCTGATCAACATGAGAACTCGTACATCTTTATGCTACAAACAACTGTGTATTACCTGGTATTACCATAGTAAAATCAAAGAGTATAGAAGTACTTCTAAAATTATGACACTTCTCTATGTCTAAATAAAGTAAAGAAATGCTGTGAGCAGATCCAGCACTGTAGTGAACTCCTCTGAAATAAACTGATGTAATAGTTTAGTTTAGTTTGCTGACTGTGTTCTTGTTTGTTTTATAAACTGCTGCATTGCCATCCACACATCCAAAATCCATATCAGTTAAACGAGTTTGTGTCTCTGGGGTTCACAAAATATATATTTGGTCATACTTGTAATTGCCTCTATTGACTGCAGGTTTAATTGCTCTACACAAACTTTGATTAGTCTCACTTAAGATAATGCTGTAGATCAGAAGATATACATTAATGTGTATGGATTAAATTAATGAAATGAAAAAGAAATAGAAATAGAAAATACAATACATATTACACACACCTGGTTATCTAAACCGGGGCTTCCCATTGACTTCACTTGTTCTAAAAATAAGTTCCGGTCGAAATTGTAAACTAAAATAAATTGTAATATAATATAATAATATTTAATATAATACAACACAATATACTATAATTATGTACTCATATAATTATACACTATAATAAAATAAAATGTTTTTCATTTTTAGAAGTGATTTTATGAAAATTATAAAATATGTAACATTTTAAAAAGTAAAGTAAAAATATATAAAGTATGTAAAATAAAATATGTAAGGTATATAATAATATAATATATAATAAGTATAACACTTCATTTTAAAAGTTGGAGCTCAAATTGCTTAATTTTAAAATAACGTTATAATTATAATAAATTAGATAATATAATATATAATATAATATATAATAAGTATAACACTTAATTTTAAAAGTTGGAGCTCAAATTGCTTATTTTAAAATAACGTTATAATTATAATAAATTAGATAATATAATATATAATATAATATATAATAAGTATAACACTTCATTTTAAAAGTTGGAGCTCAAATTACTTAATTTTAAAATAACGTTATAATTATAATAAATTAGATAATATAATATATAATATAATATATAATAAGTATAACACTTCATTTTAAACGTTGGAGCTCAAATTGCTTAATTTTAAAATAACGTTATAATTATAATAAATTAGAGCTGTCAAATCGATTAATCGCGAAGATGAAAGTTTGTGTTTATATAATATATGTGTGTATACATTATATATATATATATATGCACACACACACACACACACACACACACACACACACACACACACACACGTATGTTAGATGTGAATAATACTTTGGACAGCACTATTATAAATATAAAAATCCATTTATTTTAAAAGTTTTATTCGCTGATTAAAATTAAATTGATAAAAAATACATTGATCTGCACTTCATTATCTAGTTGCTGTGCTTTAATATACATACAAAAAAAAACTTGCTGAGCTCAGGGACCATTTAGACGTGGCGCCGGGCAAAGACATTTCCCCTTCATCAGTGCATCCACTCGACGTGGAGTTCCGCCTACGTCACCAACGCTCGGCGGAGCTTCTGATTGGTTACTTGGGTTCGCTTTAACTGCAACGTTTACCAGGTTTCCCAAAAGCCAACAACAACACTCTTCTACTAGGGTAACGCTGAAAATGACATACATTTTGGAGCGCAATTAAAATAAGTTTTGTATTTTGTAATATTAATAAACTCTTGTAATATTAATAAAATGTTATTTCCAATTAGATTTGATCAGTAAACTTGCTATCTGTTGCCCTCGGGAGAGAGTGGAGCGGCTAATCGCTAACAAACAGACTTTCGACCAAGAAGGGTGACACAACTCAACTTCACCACACACACACACACACACACACACACACTGTTTCGTCTCGTCTCGTCTATCATCCGTCAGGTTAGTGATCTGCCCATCTGTTCCGATTGTCGAAAAGTGTTTTGATTATATCATCAAAGTGTTTTATTCTGGTTATTGCTGTGTAAACTGCTGGTTTATTTGCTATGTGGCTAGCTCATGTTAGCTCATTGATTTCACACTAACATGTTACTTACTTATCAGAAATGTCATTTTTTCCCAAACATAATTTTAAACCACTCGTATGTTTCAGGTGGTCACGGTCGGGTGTGTGATTTAATTTGTCGTGTTGATTTAAAGCCCCATACATGAGCAGACATGGGCTGTTAGCACTAGCCAGCTACTGCTGTTATTGCACAATTATCAGCTTTTAATCTCATCAACTTGTCCAACGGTTTTGAGATTATATATATATATGGAGAGAGATGTGTGCGCGTGCACAGCTACTGCAGTGTTATAAATAGATATGCATTGGTTTCAGTTGTAAATCTAAAATCTACTTCCTGTCTAGTGTCCGAAATAACATGTTATTACCATGGTACATGTTCATTTATTGTCCTGTAAAACATGATAGTACCACAGCATGTCCAAAACATGCAACTACACTGTTACTATATCAAAAATCAAAGTTTGACCTTGCTACATCCCCAAAGTACCATGGTATTACCATGGTGGTACATGTCCAATGTCTAATATATAATGGTATTACTATGGTGGTACATGTCCAAACAACATGGTATTACCATGGTGGTACATGTCCAAAGTCCAATACATGTCCAAACAACATGATATTACCATGGTACATATACCAAAATATGGTATTACCATGGTACATGTCCAAAAAAAAAACGGTTTTCATGGTATGTCTCTAAATAAACCATTGCATTAACATAGTACCTGTCCAAAACATGGTATTACCATGATATGCGTCCCCAAAAAATTGGTATGCATGTACGTGTCTAATTAAACCATGATTTTGCCATGGTGCATGTCTGAAAAAACATAGTATTACCATGATATGTGTCCAAAAACCTTGGTTTCTACCATGGTATCCTGAAGAGAAAGTGTGTGTTTCACAGGTCATGTGGAGGAAGGCCGTGCTGGTGGCCCTGTTGGCGTTGGGGATGGGTTATCTGTACCACACTGACCCGGAGCTACCGGCCCGTGTGCTGAACTGCATCAGCCAATCGCTGCCTCAGATGGAGTTGAGTGACAGCTCAGAGCCCCGCCCCCCCGCGCTGGAGGAGGCCATCGCTCACGCCTGGCAGACCCTGATCACGACTCCGGCCAAACGCTGGGGGAGAGTGGCTGTGGGGTGAGCGACTCGCAATACACTCATTTATTCAGAACTTTCTTTGTTCATTGTCGTCTTTAATTCTCTTTGGATTTTTTTCCATTGGTTCTTTAGTTGTTCTATGGTTCCTTTTGCTTTTATTTTATTTTGTTCTGTCATTAGTTTCTCTCCTTTTTTTCTTCAAACAAACCTTTTTTTATGAGTATAAACGTGTTAGTAAATATTATTATTTTCATACTGTTAATATTTTTAATTAACTTTTAGTAATTTTGTTATGTGCTTTTGTCATATTTATTAGTTTTCCTAAACTTTTCTATTTTGTTTTATTTTTATTTCAGTTTTAGTTTAGTACTTCAACTTAATCTTATTTTATCAGATTATATTTAATTATTTATTATTAATTCATCAGTAATATTGTTAACTTATCATTGTTTTTGATTACTAATATATTTATAAAAAAAATATTTAGTCGCCAAAGTAACATTTCTAATTTTCGTTGAAGTTAATTTTCTTCATCTAAGATTTATACTTTATTCTATTTCAATAACTGATTTTTTAAAAATAGTTTTAGATACCAATAACAACTTGTGGCTGATTAATTCAGATCTGTAGGATAGTTACAAAGTTGTCTTTTTGTTAATTATTTCAGTTAAACAAACAAATAAACCATTTTTTCTAGTAATAGGTTGTGACTAATTTGTTCATTCATTCAATTGTTGATTAATTATTTTAATATATTTTTTATTCATTCGGTAACGCTTTACAATAAGGTTTCATTAGTTAACATGAACTAATAATGAACTGCACTTCTACAGCATTTATTAATCTTTGTTAATGTTCATTTCAACCTTTACCAATACATGATTAAAATCAAAAGTTGCATTTGTAACATTGTAACTAACATGAACAGCTGGATTTTTATTAACTAACATTAGCAAACATTTACAAATACAGTAACAAATGTTTTGCTCATGGTTAGTTCACGTCAGTTAATTCATGAACTATTGAAACCTTCTTGTAAAGTGTTTCCACTAATGAATGAATTCAATGAATGTTTTGTTCACAGTCCTCACAGGTCTGAACACGTGCATCTGTTCTTCAGCCCTTTGTTTGCTCTGTTCATCAGGGTGAACGCCTGTGTGGATGTGGTGGTGTCCGGAGTGGGGCTGTTACAGGCCCTGGCTCTCGATCCGGGTCCCGGCAGAGACCACGAGGTGCTACACAGCAAAGAGGACCTGAAAGAGGCCTTCATCCACTACATGGGGAAGGGCGCCGCTGCAGAGCGCTTCTTCTCAGATAAGGAGGTTTTTCAAAGGATCGCACGGGCGGCTGCCGAATATCCCGGCGCTCAGGTGCGCAGCGAAGTGTTTTATGACAGAAGGAGTGGCCCTTAGAACATGGTTTTCCTCAGGGCACGAGCCGAGGACCGAGATTAGCCGGTCTCGGAGCACACTAAAAATTGTCCGACAGGTTTGACTGCTCGGATTAAAGCCTTAGTGTGATTAAATTCAAAGTGTGCGATCTGATTTTGCATATGTCCTATAATATCCGCTTTAATTTTGGCATCTGCTGTAAATGAATCTGGCCCTTGAGATCCGATGGTTTAATGTGAAAGCACGAGAGGGAATTGAGTTTCTGTGTCAAATTTAATTTTGCATAATCAACAGTAATTAATAGGTGCAGAGCTCAGACTGAGGCTGGTCCATGAGGCTATTTTCATGACACATGATATTCGTTATAAATGCATTAAGCACATTTTCACAAAACAATATTTTTCTTACAACAATATAAAATATCTGGCAATGAAATAAGCACTTTCAATTTGATAGAAAATCTGATATTTTCCTAGTAGAAGTAAAAATATCCATAAATAAGTCACATTACAGGATCGTTTGCTATACTCTTGTGATTGATCTCGTATGTTTTAATGAGACCAGATTTCTGAGATTTACTCAAAAATAGCTTTTTTTCTTGTTTCTTGCAGCTTTATGTGGGCGGCAACGCTGCTTTGATTGGCCAGAAACTAGCGTCTAACCCACAACTCGTGGTGAGTGTCTTGTGCTACTGAGCAAGCTTCAAACTGTTCTGCTAGTGCTAAAATCATTGAGCGCATCACTGGACAAAAGGTCAAATTGTCCTGAATTTCCTTTCCATAATAACTGATTGTTTTTAGAGGATACATTAATACCTGATGGGCACCTGATTCTAGTTTTCTAAAGAGTGCTGTGTTCTCTCAGGTCCTCTTGTGTGGTCCGGTGGGGCCGAAGCTTCATGAAATGCTGGATGAACAGATCGTGGTCCCGCCAGAGTCGCTGCAGGAGACCGATGAGTTCCACCTGATCCTGGAGTACAAGTCAGGTGAGACGCGCTCGAAATCACATTGCCGAATTATTTTATTTCTGTGAAAGATTGAATATTCTGTAATGAATTTTTCACAGTAAGATAGTGTTGTCACGGTACCAAAATTTCAGTATTCGGTACCAATACCAGTGAAAATCCACGGTTCTCGGTACCAATTTCGGTACCAAAGCTTAATTTAGATAACATTTACATATATTAAAGTGTATATCACAGTTACAAAGATGGAAACTGTAGTATTGAAAACACTTTACAATAAGATTCTATTTGTTAGATAACATTAGATAAAATGAACAATAAACCATAGTTATATACATAGCAATTATTCTCCTTGGGGTTAATTAAAAAATATACTAATACAATTTTAAAATCAAAAGTTTTATCTGTTAACATTATTTAATGCACAATGAATAAAGTGAACAAACATGAACAATCAAGTGTTTGTATTAAATTTTTGTAAAAATATATTGTTCACTCAGTGTGTTGATGTTAACACATTAAGTAATGTTAATGAATGGTATCTTATTATAGTGTTACCAAACTATACAGGAGATAAAACATGTTTTATTTGACTTAACTGTAGCCTACTTTTATTTAATCCAAAACTGCCAAAAATGTCAGTCTTGCCTGTCTTCAAAACTTGAGAACCCTGTAGCTGATTTCGAATGCAAGGGCTAGAAATCAATTAATTATTTGCTGATACTTCCTCGTCATCACGGAGAGCGCAGTTTGCACCGTTTTCTCCTTCTCTCCACAAGCGCTCGCTCTCGCGTGTCTCCGCTATGCAACCATAAACAGTGACGCGCCTGGAAAAACAAGCTCGCACGTCGCTCCTATTATGAGCGCGCTTCCCGCGCGCCTACATTTGAAATTTGCACGCGCAAAAAATGTGCTGTGTGAACGGCCCTTTACGGCAACGTGACGTTAGCCTAATTCAACATATTTCCATATGTGGCTCTTTCCTTCTTTCTTGTCAACAAGTGGATTCAGAGCCAACGCATTAGCAGCGCCGCCGGTCGGATCAACCCGGTACTCGGTACCTAGAAAAGCTGGTACCGTAACCGTTCATTTTTTTTAGTACCGACTTGGTACCGAAGTACCGAGTTTTTTGACAACCCTACAGTAAGACTAGAAACATACACTCTCCGGCCACTTTATTAGGTACACCTCTCCAACTGCTCGTTAACGCAAATGTCTAATCAGCCAATCACATGACAGGAACTCAACGCATGCAGACACGATCAAGACGATCTGCTGAAGTTCAACCTGAGCATCAGAATAGAGAAGAAAGGTGATATAAGTGAGTTTGAGCGCGGCATGGTTGTTGCTGCCGGATGGGCTGGTCTGAGTGTTTCACTAAACTCAAACGGCCTCCACAGTCACCAGATCTCAATCTTTGGGATGTTCTGGAATGGTAGATGTGCAGCCGACAAATCTGCAGCAACTGTGATGCTATCATGACATTATGGACCAGAATCTCTGAGGAACGTTTCCAGCACCATGAATATGTTGAATGTTTGAATATGTTGAATATATGCCACGAAGAATTAAGGCAAGTCAAAAGGCGGACCAACCCGATACTAGCAAGCTGTGCCTAATAAAGTGGCCGGTGAGTGTATATTAAAGTCCTCCTGTAGTCAATTAATTTATCCCTTACAACTCACCTTTGATCACCAAAATGTCAGAAACACCAGTTTTATGGAGAAAATACTCAGCAATGGTGTTGACTTATGAATTTACACATGATTTGTTTTAAGGCATATTAAAAAAAACCTATAGAGACTTATAAACAACATTAAAAGCTTGATTTTCAACACAGGGGGAATTAAAGAAAGTGTGTCCTCTCTGCTGCCCCCTACAGGTGAACAGTGGGGCCCCTCGAAAGCTCCTCAGGCTAACCGCTTCATCCTGTCCCATGATGTGTCCAATGGGGAAATGAGCACGCTGGAGACGTTCGTGGCCAGCTTGGAGGAGTTCCAGCCGGATCTGGTGGTTCTGTCCGGACTGCATATGATGGAAGGAATGGGCCGAGATCTCTGGGAGGAACGACTGAAAGAGGTCTGAAACCGGAATTGCTCAATTCCCATCTGATTTCAAAAGAGAATCATTGGTTACCGCATATTTTTAACACAAATCGTTCCAATTCTAAAACCTGATTGGATGAGCCAAACTTTTGATATATTATTAAAATATACCAACGCCATTTTGATATAGTATTGATGTAGTGTTTGCTGTTCTGGCAGAGTAACAAGAGATATTTGTGACCCTGGACCACAAAACTGGGTATAGTTTATACATCATCTGAAAGCTGAATAAATAAGCTTTCCATTGATGTATGGTTTGTTAGGATAGGATGATATAAAACTTTTTGCAAATCTGGAATCTGAGGGTGCAAAAAAATCTAAACATTGAGAGAATCGCCTTTAAAGTTGAACATTTATGTTCGTGCTTTTGCTGCATTCATTCACAAAAAAATATTTCTTTATATATTTACAGTAGGAAATTTACAAAATATCTTCATGGAACATGATCTTTACTTAATATCCTAATGATTTTTGGCATAAAAGAAAAATGTATAATTTTGACCCATACAATGTATTGTTGGCTATTGCCACAAATACACCCGTGCGACTTTTGTGATCCAGGGTCACACTTTTGAGGTCAATTCGCTGCTGCTGCTGACTTATTAGATTATCTTTGTCTTTATGGTGATTGTGTTCTGATTTCCTGCAGGCGGTGGTTGCGATCTCAGACGTGAGGAACGAGGTGCCCATCCACCTTGAGCTGGCCAGCATGACAGACAGAGACTACATGAACCGGATCCTGCAGGAGGTAATTGTGTAGGTTTAATGAATGCTAATGCTTAGTAGATATACAGATTATTGTTAGTGGTGTCAAACAATGAACAGTGTTGAGGAATGTTCATTTTAAAATAGGGATGCACGATGATATCGGGACAACATCGGTATCGGCCGATAAAAGCTTAAAATGACCATCATCGGCATCGGCGATATGAATATTTCTGCCGATGAGCCTCGCCGATAGGGTGGCGTGTTTCCTATGCGCACGTGACGACCGCGAACGAAGCATGAGCGCCAGCAACTTAAACTTCCAACTAGGGGTGTGCGTCTCACGCGGTTTTTGATCGTGGACGACTAAAATGTCTCCACGATCTGCTTTTGAAGAAAAATCATAGTATCGTGCATTCCATCAGTTCAATTCTGGCGCCTTCAGTTCAACATACTGTAGGCTACAACGCGACGCACATTCATCACATCACATGTGAACGCAGAGGTAGAGTTACACTCACGGGACACTGCAATTCACAAAAGTTCATTATTTGCATGTGCGTCAAAGTCTTGCTAGTTAAACATGTCATTCACGTGCTGATGCGCTGTTCTAACATCCGCTTTTCTGAGCGCGTACACGCGACGCTCACAGGAACTAAAGCCTGTCACAGCGTCTGCATACTGGACTAATCTTTCGAGTCTTATTGCGCTGATACTGTCAAATACACACAAGGTTTACATAAAGTTGGTTATGTTTAAAGTGAAAGCAAACAGAGAAAATCTGCTTGTCAAAGGCGTGTATATTAGACGCGTCGCGTGCAGTTCTTAAAGAGACAGTATAATATGCTGCCGCTTGTCCTTAAAGAGATACCGCACCCAGAAATAAAAATTCTGTCATTATTTACTCACTCTAATGTTGTTCAAAACCTGTATTCATTTCTTTCTTGTGCTTAAATATACTATGGAAGTCACTGAAGTACAGCAACTGTTTGGTTAGCCACATTCTTCCAAATAACTTTTATAATTTCAACAGAAGAAAGAAACTTGAGAGAGTAAATGATGACAATTAAAATTTTGGGGAGAACTATCTCGTTAATGTTAATAAAACAACAAAACACAAAGAGGAAATCACTCACTGCTCTTGACTGAGAACTTTAATAGAAGCTTTAATAAGCTTTTTTTGCACTTTAAAAAAAACACACAAATATATCGGTATCGGCATCGGGCAAAATTAGTCTGAAAATATCGGCATATCGAATATCGGCCAAAATCCTCGTGCATCCCTATTTTAAAAGTAACACCTAGTGTTCCATTGTAAAGTCACCAAGTGCTACATTAACAATAAAAATTTAAAAAACTACTTTTCATCTGATTTTTACGGAAGCGTATTGCATTCACTTGAGGAAAAAAAATCTACTCTGTTTTTCTGAATTAACGAGTTAATTATCTCAGAATTACGAGAGAATTTTTCATGAAAAAAACGTTTTTGCTCCGTTTTTCTGAATTAACGAGTTAATTGTCTCAGAATTACGAGAGAATTTTTCATGGAAAAAAAGTTTTTGCTGTTTTTCTGAATTAACGAGTTAATTATCTCAGAATTACAAGATATTTTTTCATGGAAAAAAAGTTTTTGCTGTTTTTCTGAATTAACGAGTTAATTATCTCAGAATTATGAGAGACATTTTTCATGGAAAAAAAGATTTTGCTCTCTTTTTCTGAATTAACGAGTTAATTATCTCAGAATTATGAGACATTTTTCTTGAAAAACATTTTTTTCACTCTGTTTTTATGAATGAATGAGTTACTCATAATTTTGAGATAATTAAAAGTCATTAATTCAGAAACATAGAGCAAAAACTTTTTTTCATGAAAAATTATCTCGTAATTCTGAGATAATTAACTCGTTAATTCAGAAAAACAAGAGTAGATTTTTTTCCTCAAGTGAATGCGATACGCCTCCGTAGATTTTTGCCTCTCTCCAATCAAGGACAGTGGCACTATCCTTGCCTTAAAAAAGAAATTTAAATCGTATATAAAAAGAGAATTGTAATTTTATGGGGATTGGGGGGGGGGGGGGGGGGGGGTTACAAATCATCGGATATTTACTTTATGCTATTTACACTTCCAAGAATTTGGAAGGATAAAAAAAAAATCCTTTTATTCAGGATTGATGCATTAAATTGACCAAAAGTGGCAGTAAATACATTTATAAAGCTACAAAATATTTCTTTTTCAGATAGATGCTGTTCTTTTGAACTTTCTGTTCATCAAAGAATCCTTAAAAAATGTTATCACCGTTTCCACTAAAATATGAATAATCAGAAATGTTTCTCGAGCATCAAATCATCATATTTGAGTGATTTCTGAAGGATCATGTGACACTGAAGACTGGAGTAATGATGCTGAAAACTCAGCTTTGATCACAGGAATAAATTACACTTTACTATATATTCACATAAAAAACTGCTATTTTAAATTGTAATAAAATTTCACAGTTGTTACTGTATTTTTGATCCAATAAATCCAGCCGTGAGCAGAAGAGACTTCTTTTAAATACATTTTACCAACCCCAAACTTTTAAACAATAATGCATATTAAAAATTACTCTTTCGGAGTGTTTAATGTGTAATAAATCCTTATCAATGACTACTGGAAAAGTAATGGGAAAATCATGGAGATTCAGCCGTCAAAATGTGTTTATATATTTATTCATGTATTTAGGCTTATTTAATCTTAAAATGACCACTTTTTTTTTTAAAAATTGAATTTTTTATTATACTTTATTGTCCCATTCCTGGGAAATTTGTCTTGGACAGCATGACACGGCCAGTGCACAACATCAATCAATCACACAAAACAATACATACAATAACATGTGATAATAAGCAATAACACATTTCAATTAATTATATAAAAACTAGCAGCATACTACAGCAATTAAATAAAAAAATCTCTATTCAAAATTTTGATTGCAGTTGGAACAAATAACGATTAGACTTGCACATCAAGACCCTGAATCTTCTCCCTGATGGTAGCAAATTAAAATACTTGTGTAAAATATGTGCATCATCAGAGACAATTCTTTTAGCTTGCCTTGAAATAATGCCTCGTTTTCATGACTCCGTTTTGTATTTGTCAGTCTTTTAAAGTCATCTCGATAAATTGAACGCGTAATATTAGGCCGTGAGACAGAGGGTTGATTGGTACCATTTCGAGGGATTAAACCGCATGGTGATTTTTGTGTAGGTATATGACCCTGTATTTGAAAAATGTGTGATAGCATTAGATTCAAGGTAGTTTTTTGGTTACGGAGGACGATTTTCAAACATATGTCAAGAAAAACTGATCCTTTTATAATTTAAAAAATTTATTAAATTTATAATTTTTTTATTATAAAATTTTATAAAATGTATTTAAAGAAATTCATTTTATAAAATATTTATAAAAAATTTATAATAAAAAAATTATAAATTTAATAAATTTTTAAAATTATAAAAGGATACATTTTTCTCTCTTGTAGTCACTGAACACCTTACCTTGAGGTAGGATGATATAAGTGTTGATTTCTAATGAAAGCTACCATGGATCGAATGCTATCACACATTTTCCAACACTAGAGATGTGTACCTTCATGAAAATCAAAAAGAAATTGAATCCCTCAAAATGGTACCGGTAGCCCAAATTTGGGGTCCCGTCTCATGGCCTAATATGTGAGGTTTCCATCTACAACATTCAGGTTTCTTTGCGCTCTTCTGTTAGCAGGTCATTCCCATCGTGAACTCCATCGGCCTGAACGAACAGGAGCTGCTGTTTTTGACTCAGTCTGGAGGAGGACCTCACGCTGACCTCGCTTCATGGGACGGCATACCCGACGTGGGCCGCGTCAGCGACATCTTGCTCTGGATCTTCGAGCAACACGGCCGGGCGGACCCAGAATCTGAGGCCGATCTGACCCGGATCCACTTCCACACGCTGGCGTACCACATTCTGGCCACGGTGGAGGGCCACTGGGGGAACCAGGAGGCAGCGGTGGCTTCGGGCGCTCGTGTGGCGAGCAGTCAAGCCTGCGGTCTGCAAACCGTGGATGTTAATAAAGTGATCCTCAAGGCGCCTTTGAGCTTCAACAGCTCCTTCTCAGAACCGAGAGAGAGCCTAACGGTGGACCCGACGAGACCGGTGACCGTGTGGCGCAGAGGGAACGTGTCTTTCCATCTCACGCCGGTGCTCGTGTGCAAGCAGCCGCTGAGGACTGTGGGATTGGGGGACGCCATCTCCGCAGAGGGACTTCTGTTTTCAGAGTTCACACACCCATCTTTTTGAAGAAACATCCTCGTCGTGAGATCCTCTTCTCAAAAGACTCGCAAAAGAGGATGTTTGTGTGTTGAAATGCAGTTTGAGTGCACTGTCCTCTTTCCAGAGATTTGTTGTTGCTACCTTTGTCTGAAATCATATTGTGAAAGACAGCACTGAACGTAATAACAACGCCATCAACTCAAAATAAAGTTGGAATCATTCACTCACCCTCATCCAAACCGAAATTATTTTCATTTGCGTAAGTGAAAGTCACATGGGTTTTGAGCAACATGAGGGTGAGTAAATGATGAAAGAACTTAATTTTTTTTTTTTTTTTAACTTTTTAAACTATGAGAAGAGGAGCTCATACTCTGTTTAACAGGAGCAGAAGACCTGTGTTTGCTATTGGGAACCAAAGTATGATTTTAGAGTCTTAAACACTCACCTAAACACACTTTTATTTGGTATTTGAAGAACCGTTGATAAATATCATAACTTGAATGCCGCCGATTCACAGTTTATCTGTGTCACGTAATGTAAAGTTCTCTTATCCTAATGAAATTAAGTAGAAGCAATGTTCCCAGGTTCAATCTAGAGTTTAAATAATAGTTAGTTCCAGCTTACCTGACAATATTCTGACCATTATTAATGCACATAATGTCATTTAAATACTCAGTACCATTCATTATTCTTGTCTTAAATGAATCTTATTGTTCTTAAGGGTGGGAATATAACTAGGGTTTTTTGTACGTTGGTACCAGCATCATTTGTATATAATAATAAGTCGTAAATATTTTTCATTCAGTCTGGTTTGGTCGGCAGGTTATCAATTTGTTAGCCGTTGATTTCTGGTGAATCATATACTGTAGGTGGCGTTAATGACTGTTGTGATTTATGCTGCTTCCTATCACACATAATGAATATGTACATACAAATGATGTCATTTATTGGTCATTAGTTTTAAAGCTGATCTTGTCAGCCATGTTGTACCATCCACACACGTGTGACGTTTCATTTTTAATGTTTTTTTTTTTTTTGGGGGGGCGTACTAATTAATCACTATGGAAGCTTGTTTCCGCCACAGAATGAAAAATAAAGAAGGTAATTGCGACTTTTTATCTCACAATTCTGACTTTATTTCGCAGAATTGCGAGATATAAAGTCAGAATTGCGTGATATAAAATCGCAATTGCGTGTTATAAAGTCAGAATTGCGAGATATAAAGTTAGTCTTTTTTCCCCCTTAGAATTGGCCCGATAACTCGCAATTGCGAGTTTATATCTCACAATTCTGAGAAAAGATCTCAGAATCTTGATATAAACTCGCAATTATGTGTTGTAAAGTCAGAATTAAGAGATGTAAACTAGCAATTGCGAGAAAGTCAGAATTGTGAGATTATAAAGTCGCAATTCTGAGAAATAAAGTCGCAATTGCGAGAAAAAAAGACAGAATTGCGACTTATCTCACAATTGCGACTTTATTTCTCAGAATTGCGACTTTTTAATCTCACAATTGCGACTTTTTTTCTCACAATTGCGAATTTACATCTCGCAATTCTGACTTTATAACACATAATTGCGAGTTTATATCTCGAAATTCTGACTTCATATCTCGCAATTGTGAGATAAAGTCGCAATTATCATACTTTTTTATTTTTTATTCAGTGGCGGAAACAAGCTTCCATAAATCTCAGTATGTGAATGATCATTGGTCTTAAATCAGCCTTAAAGTTTAAACAAACCTGTCTGAGGCTTTTTAACAAAAGCTTAAAACAGTTTTATAAACATTCAGCAGTGTTGTAAAGCAATTCTAAGTAAATGAACCACTAATGGTTTTATGAACGGTTTACACACACGTCTATTTGTGTTGTTTCATGAATAAGGCCTAGGCAAGACGTTCAAATCAGCAGCTGAAGAAAAGCCTTGGCTCGTGTTTCGTACTGTATTTCTGTTACACTCCATGTTGACGCTGTTAGTTTCTCAAAACCAACAAAAATTGTGACAGTATCCATCACTGTATTTAGATTTGACATCCATGTTAGTATATTTGAAACTGGCAATATCATAAAGTTTTACCTTTTATTTTTTTTCAAACAGCAAATGTTGAGTCTTGGTGTGAGGAACTAACAGAAAGTTCATATTCATACAACTTTTAGATCTATAAAACATTTTAGGGTTCTAGTTTGCACATGTGATTATGCAACAAAGTCTTTTAAGAGTTACTTGGGAAAACGTCAATCATAAATGTTAAGACTAGAAATATTAGCTCTGTTGAGTATGGAATATTTTTATATGAATAAAACCCTTCTGTTCCAGTTACAAAATGTCCGTTTTTTTATGGTGTGGTTGTTATAAAGAACAAAATGATAATGAAATGCTTTTTGGTAATACTTTACAATATGGTCCTGTTAGTTAATGTAGAAAATGGATTAAATATCATGAAACGGCACAGGATGATCAGTCCTTAACATGCAGTCTGCGAGCAATCACATCATTACCTCATAGCACAAGCTGATTGGCCTCGATAATCCTGCAGCCAATGAGATTGCTAGCTCAGCATTTAAATACTCTGGTTCAGTGTTTGCTGTAATAACATGCTAAAACTATTCACATGTCATGATTAAACTAAAATGATCATTACATTTGTTACAGAATTTATTCATCTTTGTTAAATACAGCTGTACAGCATTAAATACTATTATCAGATACAACTTTTAATCCTAGTAATGTATTATTAAACACTGAAATTAACATTAAGATTGATAATGCTTTACAATTATTCTTCATTGTTCATGTTAACTAATGTAAAAAAATGGATCCTCCTTATAAAGTGTACCTGCTTTTTATACAAAACTTTCTTATATAATTATATTTAAAGGTGAACAGACCTTTATTTCATGTAATGAATCATTCAAACATCTAAAAGAATCTGTGATTGTAACCTGCACTTTAATTAAACTAAATATTACACTGTACATTCAATACGTTATACACCCCTTCAGTTTTGGAGAAAGATGTAGTTTGAGCTCTACTCAGCCACTGCTTTGGGTTTACTCTTCTTCTCTGTGAGTTTGTCGGGTTCATCCTCATCCTCAGGGTCTCCGGGAGTGACTGTAGGGGGAGACGGGGCGATGCTCACATCCGCTTCGGGCACTGGAGAGAAAGACAGATGAACCGAGCGTATGAAAATAAGGCCGTTATCAGTTAGTCTGTGTAAGTCGAGTCACCTTCATTTATACAGCGCTTTTACCAATATAGACTGTTTCAAAGCAGCTTTACAGTGATAACAGGAGATTACAGTAACAGTGTTTGGCTTTACAGCAGCTCTAGAATAAAGTTATCGTCCAGCTAGTTAGTTTTGATTGATTCACTTCTGTTGCAAAGATCATTAGTTATTAACTTAAAGGCCGCTTACACAACACCGTTCTAACAGTAAACCATTAAAGGTACAATATGGAGGATTTTTCGCCACCAGGGGTCGCTACCTCTTACAATACTAAAGGCGTATAATGATGACGTATATTCTGCATTAAGCGTAAGTATGGATCTTGTCGTCAAGCTGATGGATCTTTTATGGATGAGTGAATACACTGATGTTTTTAACATGACTGTGGTATGAAGCAGGGCGCGAGTGCTAGACGTATACCAGCGCCACACGCAACGCGAGTCCCGCGGATATAAAGGAATAAGGACATTTCATTCTACCGACTACACGCAAGTGCTGAATTAATACTCACAGGTCAGTTTATTAGACGAATGAAACTTGAGGTAAGCAGCGCTGTTTCACTCGCTCTAACAGTTACACTATCACACTAAACGCCATTTGAGTGTGTTGAATGTTGTTAGTTGGGTTGTGTGTCGGCTGTATGAGACTAGCAGTGAGCTAGATCAACATTAGAATAACATACAGATCATATTCTAACATTTCATCATGTTGAACTAAATAACATTGATTAGTTTTATGTACATTTGCTCGCCTGTCTAATAAAGTACATGCAACACTCGCGTCTCTGTCAAGTTGAAGTTAGCCGCGGACGTGGAGCTCTCGGCATCTCGATAGATGTTGGTTTTAGTCCTCTTTTTGTCTCAAAGTCTGCTTGCCATGGTCCATAATGTTTGAACAAAACAACAACAGCGTGAGCGTCCTTCTAGGCATAACCGGCATAACCCAGTTGTCAACGTCTGTCGCCATGGTTACTATGGCAGTACGAGCGGAAACCGGGGGTAACGCGGATATGACATCATGACTGGTGACTCCTCACCCCTGCTCACACGCCCCGTTTGCTTGGTTAAAATCGCAATTTTCTCACGATTTACAAATAGTTGGAAAAATGTGGGATATTGTAAGTAATCAACTAAACGAAATATATAACATTGCCCTGGTGGTTTTGGGATATTTTACTGCAAAAATCCTGCATATTGTACCTTTAATGTGTTCTGGCCGTTCATCCGCACAACAGTGTCTGGCGTCTCGAGAACGCACACCTTTAAAAAACAGGTCCCAAGGTGCAGGTGTTGAAATGTTTTGAAAAACGTTATCAAACTTAACCTTTAGTCTATAGGTATGTGCGTTTGAATATATATGTGCACAGGCGTGTAGTCTTTCGTTACAAATTGACCTCAACAAATGACTTGTCTGGCCTTAAAAATTCATAATACAAATTCTTTTGTCGCTTCCGCGTATAACCATGTGAACCTGAATTATTTTGACAAGGTTTCATCTGTACAGAGACGGGGTTCTGCACCTGTGGAGATCTGCATGCTCTTGCTGTAGCCTGCGGCTGAAGACATGGCCTGACCCAGGGCCTGGTTGGTGCCCAGGGGCTGCTGGGAGCTGCTGGTTTTGCTGGAGGAGGAGGACCGGTGGCTGGTCTTGCCGTCTTTGCCTGGTTTGCTCCAGTACAGGTTCTCACCCGCCTGTAGAGCAGTGCCTATTTTCTGAGCCATTTCAACCATCTGTGTGAGAAAGACACGATGTGAGCATGTGTGAGAGGAACATCATTTTCACTAATTACCAGACTGATATAATGAGGAACAGATTGGGAAAATAGAAAAATAAGTTTTTTTAAATTATTTTACATTAAAAGAGGCTGTAAGACAAAGTCTTGATGTTGTTTTAGGCTCTACTAGAACATGTTTTCCTGCTTGAATGTTGATTATTCTCCTCATATTCTCCATTGTTGCGGCTCCTCTCTTCCCAGTCTGTCAGTAACGCTCTGTTTACTTCCTGTCTCTATGAAGCCCCGCCTTCTGAAAAGCACACTGTGCTCTGATTGGTCGGCTGGGTCGAGCGCGTTGAGTGTGTTTGGGAAATGTCCCGCCCCTTTCCATAACCGCCAGTTTAACACACTACTAACTAACTAACTTAACCAGGCCCCGCCTCTTTACTCTGCGTATGAATTATTATAATGAGGAATATTGTGACATGTTCGTTTCCAAAAGAAAACTCGAGAAAACAGTGGAGGCGTTTCAGGAGTTCAGAAGCACTGACACTGATATTTCATGCTCAAAACAGCAACATCGATGAAGATGGAAAAAAGCTGAATAAAACCAAATAAAAAATATAGAACTAACATTTATAATAAAATAAAAAATAAAATAAAAATGTTGCCAGACATTGTGTCTATGATTTGTGTCAACTGTATTAGAGTAATAAGAATTCTAAAAAAAAATATTCATGATGGCACACATTCTCATAAGGACAATTTAGGACAAAGAAATGTTGAATTGTCAAGATTTCGTTTTTTTTTATAATTAATAAAAATGATTTTAAATCGCTATATTTTTTTCTTCTATAGGTGTGGCCTGGACTGAGGCTTAAAGGTGACCTATAATTCAAAATTGAATTTACCTTGGTATAGTCAAATAACAAGAGTTCAGTGCATGGACATGACATAGAGTGAATCTCAAACTGGACTGTTTTCGCGTTCTCATTTAATTCACGTTTATGAAAAACACCCCTGAAAAACGGTCGGTTCTCCACACAATACCGACTGTGACGCAATAGTCGGGATCATTAATATGTACGCCTCCAAATATTTGCATAATGCCAGCCCTCAATGCCAGGCGGAACTGCGCAGGCGAAGCATGGCAGTTGCTCAGTGTGGATGTACACATGAACACAAAAGTATTTTTTAGTTCCTTCATCTGAGCCTCTGAAGAAACAATGGGTTAATTTTATTTTCTCTGGAAATTTCCAAACATTTCACCGAGTGTTTCCTCAACTTGGGCCAATACAGAGCTGGCCTCGGATCGAGCTACCAAGCAACACTTTCTGATGTGTAATTGTTCAAGTTCAGACAGGTAATCTTTCTCTCAAAATCGTTCAATACTGTTTATGCATCAGTAAGTCAAGCCAGTGACTAAAATATCAGCTTCACATCGTTTCTTTTAGTAGGATGAAAATAATCGTATTTAAATTGTGAACAAATTATATACAGAAAGCGATCAAAGAACAATCTTTCCACACAGCGCGAGTTTATCTGGACACTTGCCAAACTCGTTATGAAATCAATGACGCACGTTACTGCACAACGAAGCTCTTACTGTATTTACATCATCGTGTTTGCATTGGTGAAAGCAGAGAGAGTGCAGAAACTGCTTTGCAATGATAAGATCTTCATTCTCGCGATCAACACGTCATCTGCTCAATGCTCATCACGGCAACATTTTATGTGATGGGAATAGATCTAAATACTTTAAAAACATCTCACGATTCGTTAATCTCGACAGCTGTTATAGTAAAAACGTATAAAAGCAGTAGTAAAAGTATTCGGGAGAGAGTTTCACATGTAATGCGTAGCTATTTCATATGCAAGCATGTCAGCCAATCACAGCAGTGGCCGCGGTTACACTGAATCCCACAGAGACACGCCCCTTCAAACAGAGTGTTCAAATCAGAGGCTAAAAGCAGGCTAGGAAAAATGCCATTTATTTCTAAATTATGATTATTTTTTATCTAAAAAACATACTAACAGTATAAGGGTAACCCAGGAAACATTATAAAATAATAAAAAAAAACATTCTAGGGCACCTTTAATATGATTCACAGATTTGATCAATTTTGTGAGGATTGTGGCTTTAAAAGATGCCTGAGCGTTTTGTTTTAAGGCACTTTTTATTGCTAGTAAACCACATATCCATGACCAGAACTGTTTGGTCACATTTAGTGTCAGTCATACGTGTTCTTCTAGTCTAAGTGAGCAGTTCTCGTCCAGAATTAGACCAGGCGTCAGTACCTCAGGGTCAAACTCTGTGTTGCTGTCATTCTCAACCTGAGCGTTGACTTTCCTCTCCATCTCCTGGAACTGCTGCAGGGCGGCCTTCTTATCGCCCTGATTATACTGGAACACCGCAAAGTTCAGGTTCACCAGCGGGTTTGACCTGCCAGGCAAAACTCACTCATTAAACTCTAGTTCTGCATGAGCTCATGTACACTGCAGATTTCCCAGCACACATCAGGGTTTGAGAACATACTCATCGAGCTGAACCGCCTGTTCGTAAGACCTGCGGGCGTTATCCGCGTCATCCAGATTGGTCAGGGCAACTGATGAAGGTCAGAGAACAAATAATCATCCAATCAAATTCAACTGGATTCTCACACTTACACTGATCTTTAAGGAACATGACTTTAAAAACTAATATTGGATTAAGTAAACATTTATTATTAGCAAAATCGACACTTCCTGATAAACCGGTGCAAAATATCTGTAATACAAAATGGAAGTTGCTGCAATCGGGGAAGTCAGTGTGGCTCTTTTTCGTGTTTGGGAATTAAACTAAATCATTCTGATGACAGACTTTGACTTTTCAGAACCAACAAACCAACATTTGAGATGCTGCGATGCGATTGGTCTGCTGGTTAGTCCAGTTATCCAATCACATCCACTGTTGAGGTTAGGTCATATACGTTTTTTGTTGTGCATAATAGGATTTATTTGGTAAATGTGATTCATAGACTTGCTGGATTTGATAAAGTTTGTGAGGAATGTGGCATCAAATCTTTAAAACATGCCTGAGCATTTTGTTTTGAGGCCTTTTTTATTGCAAGTTAACTACATATCCATGACTAGAACAGTTATTTTGTCACAAGTCATATGTTTTCATCTCATCTGATTGGTCCGCTGGTTAGACCAGTTATCCAATCACATCCACTGTTAAGGTGAGTTTTTTTCCGAGGGAATTATTCAGTGAAATGTGTTTCCATCGTAGCTTATACATGTGTTCTTATCAGATAAAAAAGTTATCCGCCTCAATAGGCTTTATGCACAGCTTCACTACTTCCTGAACTTCAGCCAGCTCCTTTGTTTCCTGTCTGCCATTATTGGACAAACTGATTAATCCAGGTGTGCCTGATTATTGTTACTGAGGCCAGGCACACCTGGATTAATCAGTTTGTCCAATAATGACAGACAGGAAACAAAGGAGCTGGCTGAAGTTCAGGAAGTAGTGCAGCTGTGCATAAAGCCAATTAAGGGCATATTTCAGTCCCTCCAGGATTTCACGATTTTTTAATTTGATTTTTGCAATCAAAATGACTGATTTTGTGGTGGTAATTTCCAGAAATTTGTGAAAAAATTTGCGATTTTTATATTTTATAATTAGTACATCACATTTACCATAATAGTATTATGTCAGATGCACAATAGTCATACATGACACAAATCACAAACAAAATGCATAAAGCTTGTTTATTTGGTCTAATCAAATTCTTTTTTTTAAATTGTGCCGTAGCCTATTGTTGTTGCTTGATTAACATTAACAACAGCAGGTTAATTAGGTTACTGTCACTTTAAGGCCTACTACAGTAATGACAAACGTCCCAATCAGTTATTACTGATTGTTTTACGTAAATACTTGCCAAGATGAATATTTTGAAGTAATTGCAGCTATGTGTATTTGTTCAAGCCCTATAAAGAGAATTCAATATTCTAACTAGGCCGACAGGCGGTGACACGCAGTCAGTCAGTCAGTCACACACACACACTTGCAGTCAGAGACAGACTGTCACTCGACTGGCTGAAATTAGTTCTCTTTCACGGTATACTGCGCTTTTAATAATTCTTTTTAGTACCATCGAGCATATCATACTTTTTGTTATGTCATTCAATCATGTTAAACGCGTTAATAAGTTTGCCGTAGCCTATACTGCCCAATGAAAACCTGGGCGCTTATGTGAGAGGGCAGGAGAGACGCTTTTTCTTTCGCCATGTTTCTGACAGACCGCACACAGACATCACGTGTGCGCAACATCTGTACCCACGTAAAAATGCATTGAAACTTTAATTAACTAGAGATATTTCAATTGGGTGATTATAATTTAATGTTTTGTGAGGTCTTTTTTTGATTTTTTGTGATTATTTTGGGGTTAAATTAGGAATTATGCAGGATCGCAAAAGAATGCAACATTTTGTTGATTTTGCGTTGTATTCAGCGATCGCAGAATCGCGAAAAACTGGAGGGACTGATATTTGAGTTTCCATCCAGTGTTTTTTTTTTTTTTTTATGTAATATCACAAAATTTGCTTAAAAACAGGTGTCTGAAAACAAAGTTTGTGAAATATTTACCGGCCAGAAGCATGTAGAGCTCGCTCATGCGTGGCCGCAGGTTGATGGCGGCGCTCAGGAAGTGGAAAGCTGACGCGTACTGTTGCATGGTGAGGTGAACCAAACCCAGATTATACAGGATCTTCCAATCAAACGGAGACAGATAGTTGGCCCTCTTCAGACAGCTGATGGCCTGGAGGAGAGAAGCAGGAGGGCATGAAAACAACAGGGGATGAAAGAAAGGTAGAAAATGTTCTAGTGATAGTCTGTCATACTCACAGCAACGTATTTCTTTTTGCCGAAGAAGCACATGCCGATGTTATTCCAGAGCGGGGGGCTCTCGGGGACAGCGTAAGCCGCTACACGATACTTGTTCATGGCCACGTCATAATCTCCATGAGTCTGCATCATACTGCCGGCCGCGAGGATGGCCTGAACACACACACACACACACACACACACATGAGCAACAACAGATTGGGAGAATGCAAAAATAAAAATGACCTTTTAATTTCAGCCCATTTTTAATGATATGTATAATAGTGTACGCAGTTATCAGTGAATTAGAGCCATTGTTTCCATGATTTTTGTCACTGTAATAAGAAATTCCAAACAAAATATACATGTTGGGATGTATAACGGTAATGAAGATTACATACAGGAACACACACATTCAGTGTCACTGAAACTACATCCCACCTTGAAGTTATTGGGGTCGTATGTCAGAGCGTTCCCGAGGTGCTCGAAGGCTTTCTGGTATTTCCCAAGCTAATGAGAGAGCAGTGGACAAAAACAAGAATAACAGACACATTTACTGTGTTTATGCAACCAGCCACAGGGTGATGCTAGGGGTTTGTAACTGTGCAGCTTACATTGTCTAGCTTTTAATATAAATATGTGATTCTGCTATTTCATCATCCACCAGACCAACATTTTAAGTCTACACACTAAGAAAAGTAAGATATTTTTAGGGTTAGGAGTTTGTTCATGCTAGTAAAAGTCCCGAATCATCATCTGTCTTCTGTGTCTGGAATCAAACTTGTTTTAATGCACCTTAAACACTACACATAACATACAAAAAAATATATATATATAAATAAATAAATAATTTTTAGGAGAAAATAGGGATTGAAGAGATGTGGGGGGAGGGTTATCTTATATCATCTTATTACGGTACCTTTTATTTTTGAAGAGTGCTGACAATGGTAATTGTTACATAGGAGGAAAGATGGAAATAAGAATAAAAATTGACTAATACAATGTTGGTAGTATGTTGGTAGTGAGGAGTGGTGGTGATGATGGTAATGAATAATAAATGGTTATTTTGCTTATCCACATACACACACACACTGTTATTTTCACTTCTGGAATTACTATATTGTTCGTTAATGCACTATTTTGGTCTGCATGTCTGTCTGTTAAAACCCTTGTGTTATGTTGCGGGTCAATTTGACCCGTTTCGATTTTCAAGTTGTTGGAAATACTGGTTAACCTTTGTTTTTTTTCTTGATATTTTGTGACTTTTTCTCATTTATCATGATTAACATGCATGCAAAGTTTCAACATGCTGATGTGTTTTGACATATACAAACAAAATTACTGTTACGTTCGTGATGTTCGCGGGTCAATTTGACCCTCATAGACAGCCATTCAAAAGCAACTGTACAGACACAAAATAAAAACATTTATTTTCTGTTTGTCAGGGCACTTCAACTCCAGTTCTAACGTGCAAGTGCATCTAAAAGTGCTCTAACCCTAACCAAACACACTTGAAAAAGATAAAATTACAGTGTTCAGAATTATTTGCAAATTACAGATGAAAATCTTTGTCAGACACAGATAGTAAAATAAGCTCTCATTTCAATATTCAAAATATCTAAAATACCTAGCTTTTAACCAAAACTTTTATGTAGGATTTTCAAAGGCAGATTCACAGAGCCAAAAAATAAATAAATAAACATTTATTTGATGTATGTTTTTGTTATGTTTGGTTTCTCACTTCCCAGTGAGTGAATAATGAAACTAGGAAAATAGGTCTTAGGAAACTAGGGAAAGTTAACTTAGGAAAATGAAAAATTTTCATTATACAGCAATTTTTTTTTGTTCAGTTACGATGTTCAAAGCATAAAATGTAAAAAAAAAAAAAATATATATATATATGCAAAAAAATCAGTATACTGTTTATTTTCCAATTTTGTCAAAACAAAACTGTTTTAAAAAATGTTTTAAAAACATTTTCATAAATCATATTTTCAGATATAATGTTTTTGTAATGTTTGACAAATGCTGATATTAAAAGTTTACAGTTTGTATCTAAATCTTTGTTGTTTTTCATAGTGTGATTTTTGAGGAATTGTATTGAATCCAATTAGGGTCAATTTGACCCGGTCCATAAGGGGAGTACACAGAATTCGAAAAGGAACACAAGGGTTTAAAAAAAAAAAAAAAAAAAAAAAAACTGAAGGCATGAATGATTTGCACAGCGTCACAGACTCGTCGTCCCTCACCTGCATGTAGAGCAGTCCCAGCGTGGTCAACAGCTCCGTGTTCTCAGGAGAAAACCTGAGAGAGAAAACGGCAATATTTCAACCCAAAATCAAAATCAAGAGGGTAGAAATGATATTTTGTTTAAAGAAAATTAAGCATGTTTAAGATCTTTTACACTCTGACATTAATTTCCAGAAAATTAAGCACATTTCATTACACTGTAAAAAAAAGGATATGATCAATAATGCATGACTACATACGTTTTTCAACTCATCAAATATAAGTTATACAAGATTCAACTCATTTTTTAAGTTGGTTTAATGTAATTTAAGTTGAAATGACTTAAACATCCAAGTTGATTGTACTTTTAGTAATGCAGTGATTCCCAACCGTTTTTTTGTCAGCCGACCTAAAATATTTTCTTACTGAGATTTAAAGTTAATATTTCAAAATAATAACATGTTCACAGTTTCCAGTATGTTAGTGAATGGTCACATTACCATTAAGGTAAACAAATAAAATGTTTTAATATGTAATATTTTCTTTAATCTTTTTATTTATTTATTGTTTTTATTTAAAATGTATGCATTTAATTTTTATGATTTCATTATTCAACTCACGAACCAGTTTAATATGATAACACGTATTAATATGAAACTTTTTGTCATCAATTACTCAACACATAACGCCTTATAATTCAGTGTTTCAGTTAGGACACCTTTAACTCTCATTGTATGGAAAAGAGCAGCCTCAACATTGAGCTAAACGTCTCTTTTTGTGTTTCATGGAAGAAAATATGTCATAATGAGATGAAAAACCATGCATTGTAAATTATGACAGAATTGTGATTATACTCCTTCCTTTCAGCTTAATCTGACTTAGGAAAGTATCACACTTCAGTCGACCAATCAGATTTGAGTTACTATAATCTGATTTAAAGCTTAAAGCCTAATAAAGCTTATTAGGACTAAAGCATATTGATTCAGAAACAGGTCCTCACTGTGGTGAGTGAGTGACACACTTGAGAATGATGAAAGCAGGCTTTTCTCGGGTCGTGTGTGTGTGTGTGTGAGCGGCTCATGCCAGCAGCGAGCTGTTATTAATTCATGCTGGCTGTGAGGCACATCTTCCCGCTATAGTGAGGTGAAGCTGGTGGAAATGTGGGATCTCTGAAAGCTCCTCTCATTACGGAGCGTCCCACTGCCGCACGTTACTAATTCATCAGCTCAGTGGGAGGCCTGCGATAATGAGGAGATCTCAAACACACACACACTCTTAAAGCTCCCCGCGGTTCTCTGATATCCGAGCCAGACTCACAGACAGAGTTTGTGTGGACAAGAGGAGGAGAATCTTCAGAGTCATCTCCATTTCTGCTCTCCGGGAAGAGAGGAAAGTCAACAACAGTAATCAAGAGTCATCAAATCGTTGGATTCCCGCTGAGAAAAGCAGATTAGTGATTCCTTTTGCACTTTCATTTGTTGAACATTAAAAAAAGTGTCTTTGCAGGAGTACGTTAGCTGACCCAAAAAATAAAACTCTGTCATTATTTATTCACCCTCAGGTTGTTTCAAACTACAAAGACTTTCTCTAAAGGAGAAAATATATAATCAATGTAAATAGAGCTCAAGTACATAAAGTATCATAAAGACTAGTGTTGTTGGCCATGACTGAAATAAGAAATTATATTATGCTTTAAGATAATGAAGGCTATTTTTAAAAGCATTTGCATTTTGACATCATTTTGATTACAATTCAGCATTATTATTATTATAATATTTTTTTTTTTACCAGATACTCATTATCATTCTCACATGCTCATTATCATAATGCAAATAATAATAATTATTAATATATACTGTAAAATTATTTTAACTGTAAAACACAGTATCTAAACTTATTTTATATATTTATGTAAAAATAAAAATATATATATATTTTTTATATTTGTATAATAATAATAATTACAATTATTATTAAAATATATATTGTCAAAAAAAATTTTGAAAACTATTTACACAATTTTGATTACACTTCAGCATTATTATTATTTTTTACCAGATACTCATTATCATTCTCATGTGCTCATTATCATAATGCAAATAATAATGATTAATATATACTGTACAATTATTTTAACTGTACAACACAGTATCTAAACTTATTTATATATTTATGTAAAAATAAAAATATAAGTATTTATATACACTACCGTTCAAAAGTTTGGGGTCGGTACGATTTTAAATACTTTTAAAAGAATTCTCTTCTGCTAACCATGGCTGCTCTTATTTGATTAAAAATACAACAAAAATCAGTTATAGTATTAAATATTATTCCAGTGTAAATCAGCTGTTTTCTGTGTGAATATATAGTAAAGTGTAATTTATTCCTGTGATCAAAGCTGAATTTTCAGCATCACCAGTGTCAGTGTCTTCAGTGTCAAATGATCCTTCACAAATCAGTATAATATGAGGATTTGATGCTCAAGAAACATTTATTATTATTATCAATGTTGAAACAGTTGTTGGTCTGTCAGTTGTACAGTTTTTTTTTTTTTAGGATTCTTTGATGAATAGGAAGTTCAAAAGAACAGCATTTGTTTGAAATAGAATCTTTTGTAACATTATAAATGTCTTTACTGTCCTTGATAAATAAAACTATTGATTTCTTTCCTCCAAAAAATAAAAATAAAATTCTCACTGACCCCAAACTTTTGAACGGTAGTGTATTTGTATAGTAATAATAATAATTACAATTATTATTAAAATATATATATTGTAAAAATTTTTTTTAACTATTTACACAATTTTGATTACAATTCAGCATTATTATTATTATTTTTTTTTTACCAGATACTCATTATCATTCTCATGTGCTCATTATCATAATGCAAATAATAATAATGATTAATATATACTGTAAAATTATTTTAACTGTAAAACACAGCATCTAAACTTATTTTATATATTTATGTAAAAATAAAAATATAAGTATTTATATATTTGTATAATAATAATATATTATATTAATATATTAATATATATTAAAATATATATTGTCAATTTTTTAAAAAACTATTTACACAATGCACACATTTTTAGAAAACCAATTCATATTAAAAAAAATATTAAATAGGTATAGTTTAAGTTATAGTTCATACCCTGCAAATAACAAAAAATGTAGGTCTGCAACTCATCATATGATGCACAAGTGATTCGGTCTACTGTTCTTATACAGTTATGGTGCTGTTGCATCTTCTTCTAAGCTTGACAGACGTTGACTTTTTGTTGCATGGAAAAGAGCAGCGGGACGATTTAGCCTACTTTTGTTTTCCACTGAAGAAAGAAAGTCACGCGGGTTTGGACAACATGAGGGTGAGTAAATAATGACAGTCTTTTGGTGAACTGTCCCTTTAAGGAGAAAAGACAGACTACTTCAGCAAGTCCTCTGGGCTTTCTTGAGAAGACAAAGGGAAAGATTAAAACGAAGAGGTAGAGAGAAAGAAAGAAAAGGGAGATGTTAGAGCGGTCACAGTGAGACAGTAAATGTGATTAATTACAGCTATGAGCGCTTCACGGATCCCAGCATGCTTTGCTGCCTTGGGCGTCTTATCTGCGCCGTGGCAGAGCGACACGCTGAGAGCATCTCTAGGCGTCTGAAGTTCCTCTCGTCTGCAACAAAACTCTGTCTCGTACATCTTTACTCGCGCTGTGCAAAAACATGACGGAAAAATCTGTCGAAATGCATTCTGGGTAAGTCACCACAAAACACTCCAGACACTTCAATAGGAAAATGAAGTGTGTTTGACTCTTCAAGTCAAATGTGACTGGTGATAAAACACACGATAAAACGTGTCAGTGCTCGTGTTATGAAGCTTCAAATCCGAACGCTCACGACTTCCAACATCATGACCTCCACATGACAAGAAATGCATGAATACGAATGCGTGTTCACCAAACATTAGTGGATGCTCTCTGTGTATTTAAACTAGTGCAAGAACTATGATGGTTTGGATGAAATGCTACTACAACAGAATAAAAGATGACCCTTAAAAGTGAGCGTGTGTATTGAGACGTACTCCACAGCGCTCTTGTAGACGTCGATGGCTTTCTCCGTGTCCCCCTGCAGTACGTGGATTTTTCCCAGCATCATGAAGGTCAGATCGTGTTTATTCAGCTGTAATGCCAAGTTTAACTGCTCTTCTGCCTGCAGACACAGAGAGAACATGTGTAACGCAACATCAGCTGAGGACACGCCATTCAAATTCACTCAAATACATCAAATAAAAGGCCGTTTCATCACTGCTGGAATCTGGAATCTTCCATACAATCAATACAAGTAAAGGAAGAGTGTTAAATAACATGTACTACTACAATAATATGGTAAATATTCACACAGATATGACTTAACAATCTGAATCTTACACTTCTTAAGTCTTTGGTGTAGATGTAGCAAATGCCCAGATTATGGCTGATCTCCTGCAGGTAAAAAATAATCACAGATTAATTCAATATTTCACATGCATCTCATTAAATTACAGGTGATTCAAATGAAAGTTCACACAATTTTTCACACCAGACCTGTGGAGCAAAAAAAAAAAAAAACTAAATCTAAAGAATATACTCTTTTCTTTTTCTGGATAATTAAAGTGAATGGTAACTGGGGCTGTCAAGCTTTAAACTAAATAAAATAAATACAACAAAAAATTTAAATAAAAAGATCTAACTAACTAAAATTGACTAAAATATCAAATATATATATATAAAAAACTCCTAAATTAACTATTTAAATCAATAAAATCTAAACCCTAACCACTAAATTGAACACATTTAAATCAATAAATACAATATAAACCTTGACCCTAACTGAACAATTTAAATACAAAAATACATCAAATACACACAAATATACAGTATAAACTCTGACCCCAACCATAACCATTTAAATAAATAAATAAAATATACAGTATAAACCCTGACCCCTACCATAGCATTTAAATAAATAAATAAATAAAACATACAGTATAAACCCTGACCCCTACCATAGCATTTAAATAAATAAATAAATAAAACATACAGTATAAACCCTGACCCCTACCATAGCATTTAAATAAATAAATAAATAAAATATACAGTATAAACTCTGACCCCAACCATAACCATTTAAATAAATAAAATATACAGTATAAAACCCTGACCCCTACCATAGCATTTAAATAAATAAATAAAATATACAGTATAAACCCTGACCCCTACCATAGCATTTAAATAAATAAATAAATAAAATATACAGTATAAACCCTGACCCCTACCTTAACCATTTAAATAAATGAATAAAATATACAGTATAAACCCTGACCCCTACCATAGCATTTACTGTAAATAAATAAATAAATAAAATATACAGTATAAACTCTGACACCTACCTTAACCATTTAAATAAATAAATAAAATATACAGTATAAACCCTGACCCCTACCTTAGCATTTACTGTAAATAAATAAAATATACAGTATAAACCCTGACCCCTACCATAGCATTTAAATAAATAAATAAATAAAATATACACTATAAACCCTGACCCCTACCATAGCATTTAAATAAATAAAATATACAGTATAAACCCTGACCCCTACCATAGCATTTAAATAAATAAAATATACAGTATAAACCCTGACCCCTACCTTAACCATTTAAATACATAAATAAAATATAAACCCTGACTCTAACTTGACCATTTAAATAAATAAATATTGTCATTGTATGGAAAAGAGTTGTGTGAAGAAAATATGTGTGTTCTATTGAAAAAAATAACAGCATAAGAGTCTGGATCAAGATAAGGCAGAGTAAATAATTAGGTATTAGATTTTTTTAGTGGATTCCTCATTTAAAGACACAGTTGTGTACTTACCCAATCTTTCTGATTGAGACGCGCTGCTTCATTATAAACCTCGATAGCAGCTTTGTGCTTCCCTAATAGGAAACTAAACACAAAGTAAGCACAGATCACGAAATAAGCGAACATATTTCTTCATCAACTTCTATTCAGTTTACACTGATCCAAACCAGGTAAACAGACACACCATATAAACCATATTTTAAACTGCACTCGTGTGTTTGAAACGTGCTTACAGTGATCGCGCCACTTGCTTGAGGTTGTCTGAGCTTTTGGGGTTGAGGATTGCACAACTCTGAAACAACTCCAGAGACTGCTGGATCTTCCCTTCTAACCGCATGATCAGAGCTGCACACACACACACACACAACACTTATTAACCAGCATAAACTGTGTTTGTCTACTGTGTACTGCATACTACCGTTTAACGCTAGTATGTGAAACAGCATGCAACAATGTCAAATGAGTAATTACATTTCAGTGATTATTATGTTTCTAGCATGTTATATGTTTGGTATGGAAGCTTGTTTCCGCCACAGAATGAAAAATAAAAAAGGTAATTGCGACTTTATTTCTCAGAATTGCGAGATATAAAGTCAGAATTGCGTGAAATAAAGTCGCAATTGCGTGTTGTAAAGTCAGAATTGACTGATATAAAGTCGAAATTGCGTGTTATAAAGTCAGAATTGTGAGATATAAACTATTCTGAGGGGAAAAAAGTTTTAGAATTGGCTCCCCTTAGAATTGACCTGATAACTCGCAATTGCGAGTTTGTATCTCACAATTCTGAAAAAAGATGTCAGAATTTCGAGATATAAACTCGCAATTATGTGTTATAAAGTCAGAATTGTGAGATAAAAATTCGCAATTCTGTCTTTTTTTTCCCCATTGCGACTTTATTTCTCATAATTGCGACTTTATATCTCGCAATTGTGACTTTATTTCTCAGAATTGCGACTATATCTCGCAATTGTGACTTTATTTCTCAGAATTGCGACTTTATATCTCGCAATTGTGACTTTATTTCTCAGAATTGCGACTATATCTCGCAATTGTGACTTTATTTCTCAGAATTGCGACTTTATTTCTCACAATTCTGACTTCATATCTCGCAAATGCGCTGGAGGAGACTTTACACAGCGCTGGACTCTTACACTGACAAAACCAAAAACTGATGCACCTCTTGATGGAAAAAACATCACAACATTTAAAGTCTACTTTAGAAAAACTGTTGCCACACATAAAACATGCTAGAAACATAATAATCACGGCAATAATAATCCAATCATACACTCTTATGCATTTGCCTGTTTAAATCCAAACAGAGACTTATTTTGGGCTGGGCAATAAATGCATTTTATGTGTCCATTTTTCTAACATTTTGCAGTTCAAACAAATAATAAGTCAATAATATTGCTTCTGGTTCATTCGTCACACTGAGAATGAAAAGTGAAAACACTGCATTGTGGGATACTTTTTTTTTGTGTGCATTTGGATTTTTTTTTTTTTTTCTGGCAAATATAGCAGGTCATATGGGTATTTCATGTACAGTTGTGTGCTAATTTTACGGTACTCTACCATTTTGAACATTTGAGACATGATCTGCAAGTAAAAATAATCAAACATTTATTCAATATTTCACAAGCCCTAATTCAATTCAAATAAATAAATAAATGTGAAGCCTAAGAGTTATAGTCTGTAACACTGACTTCATTGAATACGTTTACATCGTTAGAGTCGGTTTACTGTGTATTTTTCACTGACCTTGTACATACACAGCATATTCACACATGCCTTGAGTTTCATGCAGCTGTTCTTTAATAATGGCCTGAAATCAGAAGGAACACAAATCAATTCACTTTATTAAGAGTATTCTTTACTGCCTCTGGCTCTGTCGGAGGTTCAGCTTTTACCTTGCAGGTCTCATAATCTTTGCGGATGTAATGCAGATGTATAAGCCAGTTTCTCCTCTCCAGAATTGGGAGCTCAGGAGCTGCAGACAGAAGAAAAATCAATCTTTATAAGCTCGTAACAATACAACAGAGTCTAGGCACTTAAAAAAAGTCATTGGCAGGATCTTAATGTTCACTTTTCTTCATCATGTTTGAAGTCTCAGCGTGTTTGAATTTGCCTGCCTGACAAACGGTTTGCTTGTAAAATGTGTTTGCGCAACCTTTCCTTGATATTTCCTATCTAATACAAAGACATTTTAAAGTGTGACTTCACAGTTTTTTGGGCCAAAGATTAAAGAGAGGAGCCTATTTACACATAAGAAGCCGTTTCATCTTGTGTAGGACATTAACGGGACTAATCTTGAAAATGCAAATATCAAAGGCGGCATTGAAAATCTGCAGAAAAGAGGGCAGAGAGGCTTGCTGTGAGACGCAGCGGTCTCTTCTCGCAACGGGGGGCCACACAAGACTCATCCCCAATCCAGCGGGCCCCCGAACAAAAGGAGCCCGTCCGCTGTGACATGCAGCGTCTGCATCTTTCTCCTCTTGCTTACAAGCCCCCCGGCAAAACCTGATCTCAATCCGTTCTATTCCTGGACAGACTTTTCCCTCTGAGCCATAATCCTCTTCACTGAAAATAAAGCAAAACAGCGCCACCCACAGGATGAATGGATTCAGTGGCGTCCAAAAGTGGAGAACCCTGAAAATGCGTCCGTTTCGTTTTGCATTACTTTATCATAATGACTTATATAATAAATGTATATAGACCTTCTTACCTTTCTTTAGACGAGGTTTCTTGAGGTCTGTGGCCGCAGGCAGCTGCACATCCTACTCACAGAAAAGTGGAAATATGTCAGTTACACTTTATTTTAAGGTGCAATTATACATTTAAGTACTGAGTAGTATAAACTAAGTGTACTTACTAGGGTTGGGGTTTGGTTTAGGGTTAGTTGCAAGTAATTACTCTTAATTTAGAGTTATTATTATAGTCACTACATGTGTAACAAGGATACTGTAAAATAAAGTGTCAACACACTCAATCAAATCATGTGTGCTGGAATTAATTTGTGTACATTTTATTTAGTCTTATTGTTGTGCACTTTGACTGCTGACAAATATTATGCATTTAATATTTAATTTTCTGTCAAGAGAAGCCTTGAGAATAACCATGTTCTGGCGTGATATTTTTAGAAAATGAAAAGACATCGTAACAAATAAATTGTATAAATTATTTACAATTACGTCAGTTTATTTGCATTTGAGTAATGTCAAGACAAACAATGCAATACATCTTAATGGTGCTAAAACAGACTTTATTTTTTTTTTTTTAAATATAAGCTTATTTTGATTTTAAGGCAAGTCTGTATTGACAGGCTTTGCTTTTCAAGATTCAAGGAAATATTAATAAAATACAGGCAACTTTTGTTATTTAAAATGTCAATCTTTCAGATTGTTTTCTCTTTGGAGATAACGTTATAATTAATCTGACGAGAAGGTAAATAACGGTTATAAGAATAGCGGTTATAGACTACCATAGACCACCATAAAGAAAATCTTTGTTCATATTAAAGGTATTAAATGCCATAGATTTAGCAATTTAATGAAAATATCCATCATTTCTCACCGTTTTTATCGCGTCGTCCGCCATCACGCTCCTGTCCTCCTCACTTCCGGCGGACGCTTCTATCTCTATGGCAACACCGCGACGTCCGTGACCACGTGATATGACATATATAAACAAAATCACTGGTGAGGGTTTGCACGTATACGCTGTCCATACATCATAAAAAAAAGACAAATAGAAACAAAAGGTCTCTTTCAAAGTATAGATTATTAGTTTAATTCCGTTTAATTCAGGCAAAAGTGTGCAAAATACACAAAGTAGTTATTTTCATCCATTTCTCAGAGGGTAAATAACAAAATACAGTCATGTGGACGTTAAAAAGGAAAGATTAGAGACCATCTGACCAACACAATTGATAAACTCATCATCAGGGATGTAAAATCTCACTTAGCACGATCCAGTAAAGAAAGTTTGATTGACAAGTTTGTTACAGACAAATTTAGTGGGCATAGGCCTACTTCTTGATATATTTAACCAATGTTATGTTAACTGAACACAAACAAACAAAAGGACATTGTGCATGGATAAAATCTGGATCCTTTATATACATTTGCATAGATTGTAAGCACTAACTCTATAATCTAATACAGACAACAGGCTTCTGCTTGACAATATATGTAACTGTTCAGGGTTTGGGTCTAAAAGCACTCAAACATAAAGTGAAACCAGCCCAACAGGTGTATATATATATATATATATATATATATATATATATATATATATGTGTGTGTGTGTGTGTGTGTGTGTTTGTAGTGTATGTATGTGTATGTGTGTGTGTATGTATGTATGAATGTGTGTATGTATGTACCGTATGTATGTATGTATATATATATATATATATTTTGTTTACCTTGTATATATATATATATATATATATATATATTACCTTGTATTCTTACATTGAATTTAGCATCTTAAAGTCTGTAAACTTCAGGACTGTAGGATTAAGTTCACATATGAAGATTGAATTGGCCCTATTAGTACAATCCAGTCTCAGCTTCACAGTCTACTGTATATTATTGATCCAGGAACAGCTTGAAATTTTCCATATAACCCTGTAGATGGGCCGAACTCTTGTAAATTGATCCCATATATGTACTGTTTCCTCTCTCGGTGAGGTTAAATTCCCTGATCGACACTCATTGTTTGAGCAGCAGGCGTCTGGAACAATGAGGTAAATGTTGGCAGTGTGATGGACGAGTATCAGAGGAGCGAGGTGCAGTTTTTCAGCAGGAGGGGTTTGGCGATCTCCAGGATGTCCAGGTTGGGGTCCAGCGATCTGCCCAAACCCTCCAGGACCATGATGGCAAACACCATCGATGCAAAATTACTCTCCAACTTCACCTGCCACGAGCAGAGCAAAACACACGTCACTTAATACTTAAAGTCCCCCTGTGGTAAAAATCCAGTTTTTAATGTTGTTTATATGTCTATGTGGTGTTTTTAATATGCTTTAAGACAAACCATGTGTAAATTCATAAGTCGACAGCATTGCTGAGTATTTTCTCCTTAAAACTGCAGTGAACCAAAGACTGCAGTCTCAAAAACACGGTTTGAAATCGCTGGTGTTTCTGACGTCACAAACGACCTTGTAACCAATCAGGTCAACGTGTGATCTTTAACCAGTGGATCTCTGAGCTGAGTGAGTGAGTGGAGGCGGGGCTAATTAGCATATTCATAGAACCGCGTATACTAATACTAATACAAGAGTGTAGAGTTACATTGAAACTATTTTAAGGCATGAAGAATTTTGTTTTTTTTGATAGCAGATTTAGACAGTAATTAGTAATGCAATCATTTTTAGATTGAGTAATTAGAACAGTAATCTAATTACACTGTTGAAGATGTAATTAGTAGCTAGTAATTAGTTACTTTTTTAGAATAACTTACCAAGACTGTAGATGCTACATTAAGCGACTAAGTATTATTTTACAGATCTACTAACTTCTGCTAATTTCAAATTATGTAACCATTAACATGGTTACATCTCTATTTCCTTTCTGGACAAGGACAGTATACCGTACACACATTTACAATGGAGGGACAGAAAGCTCTCGGACTAAATCTAAAATATCTTGAACCGTGTCCTGAAGATGAACGGAGGTCTTACGGCTTGGAACAACATGAGGGCGAGTCATTAATGACATAATTTTCATTTTTGGGTGAACTAACCCTTTAAGTTTGGAGTAATTTAACATCATGTAAAAGCAGCGACTCTCACCTTGTGACGGATCAGTAAACCAAAGACTCGCGACAGCAGCTCGGACACCTGAATCTAGAAAACAACACACACTGTGTGAAACACAAGGCATGTAAAGCAACATTTTATTCCCAGCAATACTGAAAAATCTCTCAGCAGAGATTATATATAGTGGCCGGTCGAAAGTTTTCAAAACTGATGATGATCATAAATGTTTCTTGAGCAGCAAATCATCATATTACAGTGATTTCTGAAGGATCATGTGACTCTGAAGACTGGAGTAATGATGCTGAAAATTCAGCTTTGATCACAGGAATAAATTACAATCTAACATATATTCACATAGAAAATATTGTAATAATATTTCACAGTTTTTACTGTATTTCTGATCAAATAAATGCAGCTTTAGAAAGCAGAAGAGACTTATTTCAAAAACATAAAAAAATATCATAATTATTCCAATCTTTTGCCACCATAGATCTATAATGAATTATGGAAGTGATGGAGGTGTGTGTAACTGCGCACCTTTCCCAGGGAGAGTGTGTCACTGAGCGCATGATCCACTAGTTCAGCCATTTCCTTCTTGAAACGCGTCACATCCTGGCACTCGTTGGCGCGGGCGTGATGAAGGATTAACTCTGCAACTCGCTCGCCCTGGCAACACAAGGTCAGGAGGTCAACATTTAGTCTTTATTAACTAAAGGGCTGGAATACACTACAAGACTTTTCAAATCTGAGCAGATTTGAAAACAATAGGCATCATCACACACTCAGGCCACAAGTGGACGAGGGAGACACATTCCCGTTTACACCTCTTAAGTCTCTTTTGTCAACTTTCAACCACTTCTGTCCTGATTTCTTCGAGGGGAGGGTCTACGGGCGGGTAAATGTATGTGTTTTTCAGTTCTTTCAATCTAATGGACAAAATAAGCTTGTGTAATTTACATATGAACGCAATCAGAGACGACGGAAACACACACGGAGAGAATCAGCTTTAGTTTCTGCTCTGACAGACACAAGACCAGCCGAACGCTGTGAGTGTGTGTTAGAAATCAGGAATGGAGAGAGAACATTGTGCTTGGTACATTTTTCATCTATAAATCAAACTTTGTTCTCCAGCCGACAGTTTAAATCCCGTCTGGCTCGAGCTCTTCTCATAATGTTACTCATTAGATCAGTAGACGGAGAGAAGACGGTCTTTAGTGGCTGTTTGAACACATTCGATCACTTGAGTGTTTACACTACGAAAGCAATCCGGTCGAATCCTCTGGAAGTGTCGAAAGTGGACAAGCTCAAAACATTTTAGACCCCGTTTACACCTGTATTTAGCGTCGTCCACTTGTGAAATTGTAATAATATTTTCCGATATTACTGTATCGACCCCAAACCCTTGAACGGTAGTGTAAATAATACTAAAATAACATTGATGCCAACTGTAACAAACACATCTTCAACATTTCAGGATGGCTTAGTACATTCATACTGAGTACTGTGGATGTAATGGTGCTTTTCCACTGCTGGTACGGCTCAGTACGGTTCGGCTCGCTTCGCTCTTTTCCATTGGAGAGAACTGAAGCCGCCAGAGTCCCGATATGGCGCTGACATATTGGAACTTGAGTCTGCGCAGTAGCGTTTTCAGGACCAGTCATGCGCAGTCGTGAGCAGGAAGTAAAGCCGCGAAATCAAGGCCCCGCCCTCACTCTGGCTGAATCAATCGCAAGCACACGCCCTGCACTTTTCTTAAGTGGCCTTGTCTGCTCCGTTCCTCTCCAATGATGTCTGCTGATTGCAGTACCTTGCTAAAATAAGGTAAATACAAGCACTGACCACATAGTCAACATTATGAAAAAAAGTCCGTTGGTGCTTCAGTGACTACTTCGCACAGAGAACCTGTCAATCACAGCTGTCAATCATGATGTCACAGCACCGTTTTTATAGCATCAAATAACTAACTAAAAACTAACTCATTTTAAAAACAAACACTTGAAATTACATCAACGTGATAGAAACTACAGTAAATGACAGAAAGTATCTTTAGAAAAAAGATATGTGAAGTGTAATTTAATTATTTAGTTGGTCTCACGTCCCGTTGAATAACATGGGGAGGCGGGGCTTATGAGCTATACTAGGACCGGTCACCAGGGGGCGATCAAGACGTTTTGGCTTCACTTTTGAGGGCTTGTGCGGCACGCTTGGGTACGACTCAGCACGGCACGGCTCGGTTCGCTTTAGCTCGGTTTGCTTTTCCACTGCAGTTAGTACCGCTTCAAAGTGGGCGGGATTACAGACTGATCGTTATAGTTTATCTGCTCCTTGGCAACCAACGAGAGGAACGTCTGCACTTCGTCCACTGACCACGATTCAGCCATTTCTTTTTTGGAAGTTTTTTTTTTCTTTCTTTTTTCTTCAAGCAAGTAGTTTTAAAACAGGTGCTACAGCGGTGGCTGTTACTGGCTATTTAAATCCAGCGGGTTTGATGTCTCGCAAATACAATGACGCTGGTAGTGACGATTCTGTCTGACCAATCAGTGATCTGCAGTGTGTTCACGTCACATTTTAGTATCGGTACGGTACGCTTGGAACCTCAACAGAGGTGGTACCATTTAAAGCGAGCCGAAGCGAGCCGGACCGTACCATGCAGTGGAAAAGCGCCAAAGCGTGCCGTACCGCACCATGCAGTGGAAAAGCGCCATAAGAAGCACAATCCACACGTGTCCTTCACCTGCTTGAGAACGACAGCGGTGAACACGTCTCTGAAGTTGCGCTGATCCGCTTGGCTGAGCTGCGTCACGATGCCCGCGTCCAGGAGCACCAGCTGCAGGGCCGGAGGAGCCGGTCTCATGCTCACCACCACCGTGTCCCACAGGTCCGTCAGCGTGGCCCTGTCCTGGGGTCCCTCTCCTCGCACACCCTGCACCAGGATGTTCCCGGGATGGAGGTCCCCGTGGACGAAATTATCCACAAACACCTGCCAGAGATGAACACAAGTTACACAGACTCCAATGTAAAGGCCCGTTCCAATGACGGTAACGTCAAAGATATACTTCTAAAAATCGTTCTAAGAATCCTCCCTGCTGTGACGAGCTCGAGCTTTTTAATCCTTAAATGGTTTGGCACCAACATATCTTGATTCCTTAGTGAAACGTCATACATGTGACAGATCCCTGAGGTCTTCCGATCAGTCGCCTTCTCGATCGCTGCCCCGAAACTGTGGAATTTGTAACCCGTTCACATCAGATTGGTGTTTCAAGTTAAAAACGCATCTATTAACTCAGGCTTTTAATTCCTCTGGGTGTTGAGCCATATTTTTCTCTTGTTGTTTTATGCTATTTTGTGTTTGTATTTGTCTTTGTATGTTGATATTACATTATTTCTGTTCAGCACATTGGGCAGAAAGAAAGAGCATTTAAAGTGGCAGACAAGCGCGCGCTTAGAATAAACAAACCGATATCAGAATAAACAGAACGATATCGTCCAAGCTAATATTGTTATCTTTATAGTTAATGTCCTTGGTGCGAACGGGCCTTAAAGATACCGATAAAGATTTAGTTCTAAAAATCATTCTCAATATTAAAGAATAGCAGAGTTCACACCACAGCTATAACGATACCGGCAGAGAAACGATATCGTTGGAATCACTATCAGAGCGATTTTATCCAGCTGATGAACGATAAAACAATAACAGCCAATCAGAATCCATCCTGCTGTGACAAGCTCGAGCAACTTTGTAACACATCTAAAATTATACTTATTATTATACTATTGTTTCTATTTTTTAATGCAACTTTTTTGTTATTTTTTATTTTATTTACCTTTAAATTACTAGATTTGATCAATAAATAATAAATAAATAAATAGTAATTTAAGAACATTCCTCACATTCATTCAACTTAAATTCAAAATAACTCACAATTTCATGCATAACCCTTTTAATTCAGCTCAAAATATCTTACATTGGGTGTCTTTGCCGACCTCTTTTGAAAAAAAATGATAATATAAGATGATATTTCATGACTCTAGATGGCGTTATATCTCTATATGGAGCAAATGAGCTGTTCCTCTGAGTCCTAAAGTCAGTTTCTCTTCAGTGTGCATTCAGATACACATGCAGACATTATAAATAAATTTTTTGGTAAAGTTTTAGCATTTTTAGTTTGAATTTTGAGCATTTTTAGGCTTTTCTATGTGTACTGAAGCATTCCTCGCATTCCATTCATTCCTAAGGGGGTCAAATTGACCCGCGAGTGAAGGATTTGTTACTTTTTTAAATTTCAACCACAAAACTCCTTGAATCCTTTAAAAAAAAAAAAAGTGTATTCGTGGTTCAAGTGCGACAAAAGTCCTAGGGTCTTGGATCCCTCTGATGAACACTCAATTATTAAAATCTTTATAATTATCGTTCTTGGTGTGAACGGGCCTTAATAACACACTGATTGTTTAACTAACCATTTTCAAGAGAAGGTCGACACCCATCCTGGCGATTCTCTGCTTGATTCCTGCTCGGACGTCAGAGCCCATGTACTTTGAGATGGGTTCACTCTCCTGCAGGAGCACAAAATAAAGCGTCAGTGAAATAAAATAGGTCACGCAATATTCAAATGAAGCCATTTTTACCTCGAACGTTTCTACCAACACCGTCCTTGTGACGAACGGTCTGAGGGGTGTCGGGAACTTCACGTATTCCAGATCTTTGAAGTTTTTTTGGAACTTTTCCATGTTTTGGGCCTCGAACCGAAGATCGATCTGCACCAAAAAGGATGTTAAAGCAAAAAAAAAACACTTGGTCGGCATGAATGTTTGAGTTATTTTAGTATCATTAAGACACTATAATAGTGTTGGGGGTATTACTTTTTCAAGTACCTTGTAAAGTAACACATTCCTTTCAAAGTTCTAACTAAGTAACGCAAGTAACTTTTTTTCTCATTTAATGTCTGACGCCTCTCCTGTCCCCATGTTGAGAGAAATCAGGAGTAATTGTGTAAATATAATGGTTAATGTAGCTCTAGACTAACGTGAACGTGCGTTTACTCATCTCACTTGCACAAAAACAGATTCAGTATTCCTCAAAATGAATAAAAACGAGAAAATGCAAACTCAGAATATTACATAACCTGCAATAACTAAATATGTTCAATTACACAAGTATATTTTATGGATTTAATCTCACTTTATTCATTACTGTCTGAGCTGCCGACCTTCGATGATCCAATTCAACCATATGTGCCAAAAATATAACTTTTTTTGTTATTAAAAAACAAACAAGCAAGCCAAGCCTAGGTGAGAAAAAGTAACGTAACATTACTTTCCATAAAAAGTAACTAATTAACACACTTAGTTACTTTTTTAGGGAGTAACGCAATACTTCCTATTTTTTATTAGAATTTTGAATTCGATTTTTAAAATGAATTTTCTATTTCATATTGATTTTAGTTCACGTTTTAGTACTATTCTTGTTTTTCCCTTTTATTATTATTTTTAAATATGTCATATAGTTTTTGTTTATTTTATTTCACTTTTAGTTATTTTAGCACAAGTTAAACTAAATGGAAATTAAAAATGTTGCTTTGGCAACTAGCTGAAATAAAATAAAATATTTTTTCAGTTAAAGTCGGCATTAAATCAAAATAACCCCTATTTACTTCGTTAGTGCACATTACTAGTCTTGTGGTAAACAATTAATCTGTGCAAATTAATCCACCAAAAAAATTGTCTTCGTAATCTTTAATCAAAATCTGAAAATGTACTTCTCCTCTGATGACATCAGTTGGAATGGAACGCCCACATTTTCTAGATCCAATCAATTCCCAGAGGGAGAAAATAAGCCACGCCCTCTATTTTTCTTATTCAATATTCCGTTTCACTCTGAAAATACGTCACAATACTGAAGTAAAGCCGGTCGCAACTTCCGGTTCACGCTGACTTCAACATTTATTTGATTTCAAGTAACGAAAATTATTTTATGGTTTTAGATTAGGTTAAATGCCATGAAGGAACGTTCTTCATAAAAGCATCAGTACCTGTTTGGTCATGAGCTTCTCAAATTCATCTACAATCTCAGGCAGGCTGAGCCACTTGATGCCGGGCAAACAGTTGAGGAATAAACTTCCAGCTTTCATTAGGATCAGATCGATCTGCACCTGCCGTCTGATTCCTGGATGAAGAACCTGAGTGAAGAAAAAACAATAATGATCATATTAAAAATCACAACAACAACAGAAAAAAACACAAACCAATAAAAAGACAATAAACCCATAAACGAATATAAACAATAAATGAATACATTTTATTCCAGCACCCCAAACCAGCTAACCACTGAAACAAGAGTGGCCCTCTACCATCACTAGTTAGGGCCAAACAACACAATCATCATCATCTTTTTTATTGACTGGAAAGAGATTTTTATTTTAAGTTAAGATTTAATCAAATTTGTTTAGTTTATAAGAAAATGATTGGTGTAAATGAGTAATTTAATAACCAAATAATGCACGGTTTTCAACAGGAATCATAAGACTGAAATGTTGACTTAAACTTCAAGATCTGCCAAAACAATCTCAGAATAATATAACTAAAAAAGGAATGTAATTTAAAAACCTATTTTACCTTGATAATCTGATTTATTTCTGAGAAAATAGTTTACAATAAGAAGAAAAAACAAAGATTAGATAAAATGTTGAGATTAAATAAAATGAGCTTATGAAAATTATGTAATTTAGTGAAGGATATTCAGTATATATATATAATAACAAAAGATTTTTCAACAGGGTAAACCAAATAAACATTAAATGTCATTTAAAAACCCCATTTTACCTTAATAATCAGATGTTTTTCAGTGTGAAAATATGGTATACAAAAATAAAGATCAGAAGATTTCACTGGGAATTGTCCGGAACATAAAAATCTTCAAATTATTCCAGATGATTGGAGGTAACGGGTTTAAACCATAAGAAAGCAAATATGATCTTTACCTTGATGGCCACGGGTATCAGACGCTCTTCCTCAGGGTGTTCGCCTGGACCAGGACTCTCTCCGAAACCCCTGTTCTTTACATCCACCGTCTCTTCCTCCTCTTTATTCATCTCCCAGAGGTCACTCAAAGCTCCTCCCAGACCAGGGATCTCCCAGGCTTCCAGGAGATTCTTCTTCCCCAACTCCTCCACCAGTTGCTGGAACGCCGGATCTTCAACACTCGCCACCTTGGCTTTGGCCCGATACACCTGTGCCACGCATCCCGACCCCACAGGCTCCTTACTGTCAAACACAAACATCTGCCTCCATCCTTCCCCAAACGCCCTCCTCAGACACAGCTTGGTGTGAATCCAGGGATGGGGCTTTACTCGCACATGCAGCCTTGAGAAGCGGTCGCAGAAGTCCTGCGAGAAGAGGTCCCGTCTGGTGCTGGCCCACTGGCCCAGTTTGATAAAAGTAGGTCCAGATGTCTCAGTGACCCACAGTAGTGCGTCCAACCAGCGGGACGCCCAGCGGTGTGATAGTAAAGTCAGGGGATACAGAAGCAGAAGGGGGCTGAACTTCAGATAAAGCACCAAGGCACGGAGTCCGAGACGCAAGACGAATACTAACCTGTGGATTTGCACTCGGGCGATTGACTTCCTCTCTGTGGCTCGGTTCTGATGGACCGACTCCTGAGCGGAGGCGTAAGTGACGCCACATGCAGTCCAGCAGAACAGTCCCACTTTGGGGGTTTGAGATAAAAGACGAGTACCTTTAAGAAGAAACACTCTACGGGACGGGATTCGAACTGATACCCTGTGAACAATGCAGCTGAAGTTCTGGAACAGGCGCTTTGTGCAGAATGCAGACATTATTGATACACTTGCTATTATTATTATTATTATTATTATTTAGGCATTCAGGATACATGTAGTTCAAATGCAATTTATAGCAGTTATTTTCAGATTTTGATCGGGCAATGATAAACAAACATTCACTTTTACAAATGGGAAATTATGTAGTGCAAAAACCTACATGCACAGCAGTGTAAACCTTTATATCTACGATTAAGTTATTATATCATAAACAGAAAGATTCAAAAGCTGCAAATACATATAACACGTGATCAAATGCATGCCTATTCTTTTTCTCCTGTAATTTTTCGCTGACAGAGCTCTGATATAGTGCTGTGTTTAGAAAGTAAACATTGTACCTCCACATTTCAACACGAATTCAGATGAATAATTCAAATATTGGTTATGAAATGTTGCTCCTCTTCTCGGGTCCGGCTGATAAATCCCTCCGTGTGACTCTTCTCAACATTAGTTCCGCGCTTCAGTGGAAGTGGAAACGATTAGTTGGTTTGTTTATTGATTAATAAAGTACAAGTTATTTTTAAAACTCAGTAAGTCATCAGCTCAGCGATAATATACACAAGATAGTAAGAAATGTAAGTAGTCATTGAGTTACGTAAAATGTAAAATACGAATAAACAAATACAGTAAAGAAATAACAAATCAATCTTGACGAAATGTTTTTATTTTTAATATAAAATATATTATTTTATTGCAGTTTTGTTTGTTATTGTCCTTTATTTTTATATTTACGTGGTTCAGGTAACAGAGGTGATTTATTTTGCGTTTAGTTGAATGATGTATTTCATTGCGTTTCTATTCAAAGTTGTTGTTGTTCTTCTTATTAGCCTATTTGTTATATAATTAAAATTGAAATAATTAAATTTTTGTAACAATTTCCTTATAGGCTATATATTACATTTTATATTCATATATTTATGTTAAACGTTTGTTGTTATTATTTTAGTGGTTGTTGTTTATATTAGTAATTATGTTGTATTACCTCTCTTGGGTACTATAAATGTGACATTTTTAAGATTAATAAACGACTCTTTATTTCTTAGTCTTATAAATATGTAAATTAGTCGTCTTTAAAAAGGCATCAGACCATAAATATATTATAATAAATAAATATATCATAATTAATATAGCATAATAAAGTAAATTAATAACGTTACAACAATATT